ACGAGCTGACTAGGTAGTACTAGGTAAAGCACTCAGGGCTGCGTCACGAGCGCAGAAATGTCCCCCTGGTAGCAGTGTCGGCGGGCACAGTCAAGAGGTTAGGAAGATGGAGGAGGGAGGTGCACAAACCAGCGGTCGACGAAGGAGGGGCGCGCGCAAAGGTGTCGACAAGAGATAGCAACCGGTTAGAGCGCAGGGCTCATAACCTGATGAACTCTGAACCTGGAAGGCTGTAAGCCGCACAAAGAGAGGTCTTCAGTCTGTGAGAGAACGACTATGATTGCATAGTACTGTACCTGTAAGCCGCACAAAGAGAGGCTACAAGTACTAGTAAGTAAACATGTAAGGAAGCATAGGTAGTGTGGGACTTACTCTTCAGTCTGTGAGAGAACGACTGAAGAGCAGAGGCCTGCAGAGTCCTCCTTATATACTACTGGGGAGGACGATGAGTAAGCGTATAAGAAGAGAGCATGTGACGTCCAGAGGACGCTGACTGAGCGATGAGTAACGCTGAGTAAGGGAGCATAATCGACATAAGGTCAGATAGTCCATGGCTGAGTAATGCGAGTAATCCGGACGCTGTCTAGAATAGTCCGGAACATCGTAGAACGTACCAGAATCATGTGGAGGGATGGCAGGATGCCAAGTAAGTACAGAACAAAAGAATGTACGTATATGGTAAGTAGGAAAGTCCATGCTGGCGTATGGTAGACGCACAGCCACTATCACTGCCACTCCCGGTCCGGCACAGCCGTAGACACAGAAGTTCAACACATGGTGCCGTATAGCCGCCACCAGCACAACTCCAACGAGCTTTTCCTAGACAAGCTCAAGCCTTGCCCCATCTTCAACTTGCTGGCATCAACTGCGGGTCCGATCCGCCGCTGTCTCTGCCCAACGTTGTCCAGTATACTAAGCTGTCAGCCTCTTCGTTTGCCAGACTGATTCTTGCTCATCGCCCTCGCCCTCTCGCCCTCTCGCCCTCTCGCCCTCTCGCCCCCTCGCCCCCCGCTTGCCATTTGTGCCTACCACCTTTGCTACGCCTCACTTACCCTCGCCGCGGGCTGATTCTGTGGTGTTAAATCGGGAAACGAACCGAGTGCGAGCCGACGATGGAGCACGAGTAGGACAGGTACACCCGAGGCTGGCAGCGTGCTCACCGAGGAGGTGCGAACGACATCACCTTTTTTGTGTGTGTCGTCGTTGACCGCGAGCTCGTCGCATTTCGTAAGATCATGTGGAGGCGGTCGATGGTACTCATTGTTTCGCTCTGGCTGTATGTTTCCACCCATCGCTGTTGTGTATCCGCTTCATGCTCGCTGTTACTATGGTACTGTTATCGGTCATCGTCCTCCTGCCTGGTCGTTACAACCCGGTTGCTAGATCCGGGTTATTGCCACGAAAAGTCACCAAATTGCATCCGTTGGCTTTGCTTTGCAACCTCTTTGCGAAAACGGAGTGAGCCATGTTCGACTCACCAAAATGTCAGGGGGTGCTACCGCTCATATCGACTTGCGATGGAAAACGAAGTCTTCTAGATTTGCCTCTCTTTCAATGACTGCGTGTAACACCGCCAGGGCAGTTCCTTACCCCGGCGAGCCGTCATTGGCCGCCCCGATATATGATCCATCGCCCGTTACGCCCTACTACGTGAGTTAGGGGACTTCCACCGCTGCTTATTTGGTTCCTACTCGTCGTCGTCATTCCCCCAAAGAAAGAGTGGGTGAGTGACATAGCTCCGTGCATTCACTTTCTGCTGATGTGCAATTCTAGACACATGTGCGGCGAGAATCCAGGTGTGTATCCGCGGCTTCTTCTTCGGTATGCACGCCGCTGACGACAACCCAGGACGTGTTTACTTGGGAACGCGTGGCATTCCGCCAGGGGTGAGTATTTTGTTGCCGAGCTCGTCTACCCCAACTCACTCCCGATATACTAGTTACGAAGTGTCATGTCAGATTAGTGACGCGCAGGACGCATATTGGACGAAGTCACGAAACGGGCAGCGGACGGACCTACGCAAGTTTCCAGAAGATCTTCAGTAGGAGGCCTTCGTCGACGTCTTGAGGGGACACAATGATGTCAGAAGAGCGACTTGTTTGGCCAAACTGAAGATCGCACGTAGATTATGCTTAGGTCCAGTCATGGTAAGTTGCGACGGTGATGCAGTGTTAATCAGACCCTGACCACCAGCCTCGGAGATGTCCAATGAGTTTAAGTTCCCGATTGCAGCACTCTGCCGTGCGCACAAAATGTAAGTCCCTACACGGTGTCTAATAGTGTTGCAGGCAAGCCACCTGTCGCAGCGCTGTTCGCCACGCATTCACGTTTCACGCGCGCGAATAGAGCTGTTTCGCAACGTGTTTGTCCTACCTCGGGTGGAGCTCGTTTGGCCTCACTCCAGGCGTCTCTCGCGTGGACTTGCGCTTTGTCCACTCCTGATTGGTACTGCCCCACGCTGATTGTACCGCGCCTCCGAGTTCGCGCCTCGATTCTTCGCGGACTTGGCCAGTGACCGGGGATTTGGCTGCCCGCGTTCAGACCACTCGGTACTGGACTGTCACTCCCTCCTCTATGATTCCTAACAGGCGTATCACCACGGTCTTCCGCCTAACGTCACGCTTTCTGTCATGACCGCCACGCCGGCGACGATCCTTGGATCAGATGATCACATCGGGTTTCTTGAAGAAGGTAAGCACTGCTCCGAGTATCGATAGTGAAATACTAATCAACCGATTCTTCGTCAGGATACGATGCCGCTCGCCACGCTGCACGCTGCCGACAAGCTCGCACACTTCCAGCGCATCCGCTGGACGCCGAACTTCGACAAGGAGGGGCTGCCGTCGCTCCAGCGGAAGGCCTCCATATCACACACCTTCGTGTTCGCGAACGCCAGTACCGTGTTCCTCCGCGACGCTGAGAGGGCTACAGGCATAAAGCAGCTCACGACTTCGGCTCTCCACTTGGCTTGGAGATTACGAGTGCTCTACGAGGGATGGATACGTGTTCGACGCTCTACAAGATCCTGTCTCCAAGGTGTCGGACGAAGCGGCACGCTCATCCCGCGCTCGATGGCCTGCAACGCTGCACCCGCCACGCCTAATACATCCCCTTCCTCCCCCATTTATCTTTCCCCACTGTCGCAGACACCTATGTCAGCCTCACGTACCCGCGCGGGCGTCATCACGAGCATCGTTGGCCATCATCTCCCGGATGAGCAGCGCGCCCTCACTCGAGATGCAGCGCAAGTCTGCGAATGGAGCAATCGTCCAGAAGTCGGGCTCTGTGCACGTCGCAATTCATCCTGCGGGCGTGCTCTCGTGCGACTGTTCGCTTCGCAGCAGGCGGCCGGTCCTGACAAGGGGAGCAAGCTAGAACGGGTAGGCCCTCCTCAGATGACGTCCTTTTCAGCCAGTGATTACAAGAGACGACGAATGGTCAGCAGCACTCGGGATTGAGCATCTCGGACACAGTCATGATGTGGGAGATTGGAGGCCCTTGCGGCACGGGGGACCCATCCGCACGGTGGGAGCTGTTGCTCACGCGTAACCGTAGTCTAGACCGCGATTGCACCGCAACGCCGCAGGGCTCGGAAAAAATGAGCGTCCTCACAAGAAGCCGCGCGCACCAAGTCAAAGTGAGTCGTTCAAGCTTTGTGGGTCACGCGTTGTTTGATGGTATTACTTTTCGGCTGCACTGCATTGCGCGCGCGCAAGGACGGCGCAGACATATGCCGATGGTTGTACGGAAGACGCAGGAAAGCGCGGCAAGTGGGCAGTGGTTGATACCTAAGGAGCGCGATAGCCGTCGTGAAGAGAATCGAGGTAGCGACAGGGGACACGGCAGGGTACAACAGGGGAATGTCAGGAACCGGCTTTAGCGCAACAGGACGCTGGGAGATGACTGAGACTCGTGAGGGCGAGGATCGCGGGAGGCAGGTGACACGGAAGGTTCAACTTGCCAATGCAAGCAAAGCCGCAGGACCGGAGCGCGAGGTTGTCGCCACAATACTCGCCTGAGACATAAGATATGGAAGTTAAGTACACGCATATGGTATAGCGTATGAGATTTACCTGCAGGCTCTAATCCGTGTCTGCAAAAGCCAACAATGACGGCAAGAGTAAAGCGGCGAGCAGGTGCACAGCAGCGGGAGCGTGGTACCTGGAAAAACTACACCCTCCAGATACATTTCTCAACAAGACCGGACCACTATCGCCGCACCACGGGTGTCAAATGTTGAATCGACAAGAATCGCTCAGAGATAGGCTTTCTACTCACATACGTCGTTCTCTCGCTTTCGAACTCAGCATACGTATCTCTCAGACCACGGAAAGCATCGCGCTGGCAGAGGATATCGCGCGCCCTGCTAGTCACCGCGCGAACTTGAGCACAGCAGCGGGGCGTGGAGCGAGACGTGGTTGCGAGTTGAATGTGACCTCCGTTTACGGCTAAAGACTGACAAACACGACATTTCACAGAAACACAAGACAGCTCGGGCGTACGCTCATCGTGCGAGGAGCGAGAGGAGCAGGGGGAAAGAGTGAGAATCAACGCGGCGCCCGCAAACAAAAACCTAGCACCCGAGGTGTCCAGGTGAGCCCCGGCGCAGGGAGAGTTATGAGGAATCCTCCACGGATACAGACAGTCTCCCAGACTGTCGCCAGCGCGCGCGCAGAAGTACCGACGAGGTGGGGGGATGGCGGCGGTGTGGAGACTGGAAACCAGAGGTCGTGGTGGATCAGCGCTTGTGCCTGGCGGGTAGCCAGGCGCCCGAGCACCGCTCACTCTCACTCCTCATGCACGGCTCGTGCCGCATTCGCTATTCACCGTTATCTCGTCCTACGCTCACCACAACCTCGACTGTGACACTATCCGGAAGAACAACGATGACGGCCACGGAGGCGGCTCGACTAGAGCGCAAGGTACGCCGCCGCCGCTTGCGACATGGATCCTATCGACCACTCCCCCATCGCGGTGTGCCCATCACCTGTTTACGGCATCTCCGAGCTCCCGACCTCCACTGTCTGTGCCGCACCACACGCCAGCTACGGGCCTCTCCACTCGGGGATTACAACGAGAGCGGCTCTGGGTGGGCCATGGGCCGTGGGCTCTGCGCATGACAACAAGGCAACCTCCGCGATGCTCTCCCGCTCGTATACTCATCGAACGAGCTGGAGATGGCGCCCGCGGCTGCTCGTCTGCGCCCCGGTGCACTTTCCACAGCGCGAACTCGGTATGTACGTACTCCTGCAGTACGATTCGAGTGCTGACTGTCGCGTTTAGGACGCGCATCCCACACCTGGTCTGCACCCTGCGACGTTGAACGAGGGCAGCGTGAACGCCGTGTGGGCCGCCGCACAGCGATGTCGCATCCCACACCTGGCCTGCACCCTGCGACCTCCGCACCCTGACGCCGGACTGCCATGCCGGACCCCACTATCCACAGGGAGAGCGACGCAATGCGTGGTCGACCGTGAACGGTGCCTCTCTGCGACGTCGCCGCTGGGCACAAGAGGTCAGCATTCTATACCACATCCGCGTTCTAGAATGACATACGAAGCCCCCAGGAAGTCCGGCTTCACGGACGCAAAGACGGCGACAAAGGACGTGGATGGGCCGGCGGCGGACGCTCATGCAACAGCGACTGTAAAGCCTCTGCATGGTCAGACGCAGACGACACCACCATCGAAGTGTCCCTCGCTACGGAAAAACAGCGTCGGAAGCTGCATGACGCCGTAGCCGAAGACACCATGCAACAGCGATACAACGGCGGCAGGAGTAGACGCGTGGATGCCGGGGGAACGAGGGCGCACCTTGCGTCTGCCCGCTATGTACGCGCTGCGACGACGACGGCCACGGAGGCGGCTCGACTAGAGCGCAAGGTACACCGCTGCCACTTCTGACTTCTGGCGGGCCAAGACTCACCACGCCCGCAGCACTGGCGGTGTACTACCCGCCGTACTCAGACCTTGACGCACGCGCCCCGCACCCTGACGCCGGACAGCCATGCTGGACCCGACTATCCCGCAGCGACTGTGCCGCCGAATCACGCCCTGCACCCGCACCCCCTCCTCTGCGACGCGTACGTCTCCCAAAACACCTTCCAGTTCCCGAGCAGGACGACACGCTACACTCAGAGTGTCCTCAAGCCCGCACGCAGAACGAAAACGCGCCACACGTCCCTCGTGCGTGATACCCGCGCCCTTCAGTGCCCGCACGATGGGCATTGGCTCCGCCTCGAGCGGCGCGTATGGGATGCAGACCTCGACGTGCCCGCATGCTTGCACAAGACACACGCGCCCTCCGCCGTCTCGAAGTCGATGTGCGCCCGCTGGGGCCACAGCGCACAGCGCGGGTCGCGCTCCCCACCGCCATCACACCCGGCGGGCTGTATGCCATCCTCGCCACCGTGACGCAAGCACCTATCGGTCTCTCGTCCTCCCGTTCTGCGCGTTGTGCCCGCGCGACGGGCGCTGGCCCCCGCCTCGAACGGCGCGTACGGGACGCAGACCTCGACTGCGCCGACGACGCAGTGGATAGATTCATGGCGACGGTGCCATCTTTGCCGTGGTGCGCCGGACGACACGCGACATCCCAGAGCGCGACGAGGCCTTTCCGCACGGGAGTCAGCGTTCGGAAGGTCATCGTTCAACATAGGCAAAGACGGTGAGAAAAACGTAGACAGGAAGGCGGCGGGCGCTCACGCAACATCGACAGTGACACAACGGCGGCAGGGGTGGACACGTACGAGAGCGCAACTCGCGTCTGCCCACCACGTACGATTGACCACGGAGGTGGCTCGACTAACATTCCCCACGCTCCCTTCCACAAGCTCAAGCTCCCAGAGCGCGACGAGAAGGTCGGCATTCGGAGGGCAGACGAAGGTGGAGCAGGACGTGCAGCGGAGGGACGGCGGCATCCAGCCGACCAGATGTGGCCGGAGTTACCCGGCAGAGAGTTATGGTCGGAGACGACGTCAACCCAAGTGCAGGACCTCCGCATGGTAGTGCACGATGTTGGCCAGCAGGTCCTTCTCGCAGCCGGAGGCAATGCCGCGAGAAGAAACCTGTAATGCCCGGACCGTACGAGGACGACAAGGTCATGCGATGTTAACCCAAGCACGACGGCGAAAGGAACACAGAAAGACCAGAGAAAGATTAGTGCGCAATGTTCAGTGAGTGATCGGTCCGCCGGGATGGATCCCTGCAGGCGCTTAGGTATGTGTCCCTGCCCTACCGCTGTCCCTTCGGCGTACCATCATCACCGCTGCCACTAATAGCTGTCCTGAAAGAAAAAGAAAAAGATACATGAGCCGAGAAGGGCTGGGCGGTTGCTCCCCTGATGCCGACGGGCACCCGGTCGATGGCACCCGCGTGCAACTTGACGAGACAAACCCGGCCCTGCACACCCCTCCCCCGAACATTGACACCTTCGCCCCGCTCCCCCTGATACCGTATCTGCGACACCCAACGCCAAGATACTTGCTGCGCAGCTCACCGAGCGGCCCGAACCGGATGGCGCCGTCCTGGACTTCCTTGCCATCTATCACCCACAGCCACGGCCCGCAAGAACGTCCAGCTCCGCCGACCCTTGCCATCCGTCGACTCAGTGACCGCCGTCGCCGCACAGCTGCCCTCAACCTCCTCAGCCGACCACCCTCGCCTGCTTATTCTTCGACGACCCAGCCCGCAACACCTCGCTCATTGACTGGCGGCCGACCGACCCTGGAACCGTCACGCTCGCATCCGACGCCCCCTCCGCGGTTGTCTCTCAGTCAGACGTCTCCCCACGAGACCTCCCTCCCCACCATCCCATCTCCCCTTCCATCCCCGACGAGACCGACGGCGCCGACGTCCCCGGTGCAGACCGCGTCGCTGGGCCGGACAGTGCTCCCTCCAGAAGAGCGCGAGACCCCGGTCAACTCGTCAGTCCTACGGCGCAACGACGACGCTCAACACGTGCATGAACAGCCCCACCGGCCAGATCGAGATCCTGCTCTCGCTCACTGGCGCTCCGGTCGACGGCTCGAACACGGTCGGTATCCAGGCCGCGCTCCAGCACCCCTTCTCGCAAGGCCCCATCTACATCGTGTCCGACGACCCTTTGACCCGCAGTACCTCTCGCACAGCGCCGACACCATCCTCCTCCGCGAGGGCCTTAAGCTCGCGCGCAAGATCGGTAACACGGCCCCGCTGAGTTCGTCCGTCGGTGACGAGGTCACCCCCCGCAGCGCTGTGCAGTCCAACGACGACTGGGACAAGTGGCTCGCGAACGCGATCGGCACCAAGTTCCACCCCTCGTGCTCGTGCGCGATGCTCCCGCAGGCGCAGGGCGGCGTCGTCGACGCCGACCTCAAGGTGTACGGCCTCGCGAACGTCCGCATTGCCGACGCGTGCGTGTTCCCCATCCAGCTCTCCGCCCATCTCCAGGCTCCCGTCTACGGGCTCGCCGAACAGGCCTCGAAGATCATCCACGCAACGTACAACGGCGTCGGCTGGCCTTCCGCCAATCAGGCAAGCGGAAACACGTCTGCGACTGGCTCGAGCACCAGCGCGTCGCCATCCGCAACAACCAGGCAGCAGCAGGACACGAATGCGGCCGCGCCCCGCATTGTCGCCGGCTCGGTCGTCGTCACGCTCGTGAGCGTGCTCGCCGCGCTCTTGTTGTGATCGCGTCTCGGTCGTCGTTGCTTTGGTGTTGCTTTCGCTCGCCGCGCCCCGCGCGCACCCCTTCCCGTCTCGACTCGTTTTGTCTCTTGGGCCGGATAACGGACCTCTCCAGACTCTCGTACAGTACGCCCATCGACTGTGACTCTGCTCCCAGTGCGCGCGCGTGTCGCGCGCCTCCCTCCGCTCCTTACTCGCCCGGTCGAGCACCGTGGACTCGACCCGACTTACGCCGTGACTTGGTTGAAACCACGGAGGAACATGGAAGCGCGGACCGGGGAGCAAAGCGAGGCAGAACGTCGGACGCGAGTGCTCTCTACGTGGTGGGCATACTAACATGTCTCTTCCTCGCCGTTAACGCTCATGGCGGCCCTGGTGGCAATCCCCCCGGCGTCCCGCCAATATTCCTGGCAGAGTCCGCTACATACCTCAGGCCAATTCCAAGTGCGATATGGACTCACTCAATGTCAGACTAGTCGTATGCACAGGAGACGGCGGTAGTACGGGTGACTAAAGACACTTGTAAACTTCGCATCAGGTACTCAGGCTACGGGAGGGGCCATGAGCCGCGCCTTCTTGACGTCGTGGAGGTCCGGGCCATGCATGGACAATCTCCGTGCTTCAAGCTTTACTAGTAGCAGAGAGATCAGTGTAGCATCAAACGCGATCATAAGTTAAGGACATACCTCACGAGCGACCAGGAAGGCACACATCGGACAGCGTGTGCTGATTTCCTCGACGCACCCATGTGAAACAATTGCAGCGAGAGGCCGATAATACTCTTGGTTCTTACGCTCCCTGACCGAGGTTTAGTAGGTGCACAAGGAGCGTTAGAAGGTGAGTACGTACTTGTAGCTCACACCGGTGGAAGGCGAGTGCTCGTTAGTCCGTACGTGACCGGCATCGAGGATGGCGTGGAAGTGGCAGAAACGTCGTTCTGCGTGCCAATGATGTCCTGAACCCTATGCGGTACCTGAATGCGTTGGTCAATCAGCCAGATGCCCGATCAGTAGCAGGGCATGAACGTATACATGTGAATTATTTAACGCGGTGTGCCGCGCGCGAGTAGGCCGTGCACGCGCGCATACTTCGACTAATTTTCGAAATGCATGTAGGCGGGCCAAACCTTCTGGTTTCCGTACTGAGATGCCACCGTCCCATCCAACCATAACCTAATGGCTGTGAATCCACGCGGGAGATCGCGTTCGGGCTTTTTGGGAGTTCCAGAGCCGAAGTTCTTCTTGAACGCATGAAGTCGACTTGTACAGCTCGTCGTACACGTGCTCACTATCTGATGAGGTTAGGAATTATTGCTCAACTAGGTAGGGATCGTAAACGGAGTCGCGGACAGCAAGATCGGAAGGGAATGTTTTCACTATCTGAGCGGCGCAGATGTTGTTGTGGCGCTCAACCTCGTGGGCTCAAGATCATCATGATTTCCAAAGAGGACGGAGAGCCCTGGCGTTTCGCTTCGGCTTACGCTGGAAGCTGGGCGCATCTAGAGGAGCGGGCAGGCAATGGGGATGGAATTGAAAAAAGGAGGAGGGGCAATGGCGCAAACAAACGCATCCCGAGGTGCGAAAATGGAGTCGCCGCGAGACTCGTCTTACTACCTACACAAAACCAAGCCCGGTTATGGAATTGCCTCCGCGCCGCGCCCCTGTTTGAGGAGGATACACCGCCGGCTATACAGCTGGAGCTCCCAGATTGGTTGGCCTCATTCGACGATCCGAGGGGTGTCCTTGCCTGCGCGTCGCCATACGTTATGCGGCGTCGGATGCAGACACGAGTTGTCGCCCTCCCCCTCACCCGCGCCGCCTCCGATACTCCCGCGCTCATGCTTCGGAGGTCTTCCTGAGATAGGAAGGGGGATGTGGACGGGATAATCGGGTTGTGCCCGAGCGCCAAGTGTACCCAGGTTTGACAGACCTTGCGAGTGCGGTGGTGGAGACACCAAGGCGGGCATTGGTAGGTGGATGCCCGACGACTTTGAGTGAGTCCGCGACGGCCTAGGGGCCGGGAGAGCGAGCGGGAGCGATGGTGACGGCTGGGAGGGTCGGTGCTCGCCACGATATGCAGTTTTGAGAGGATGCGGATGCTGGTACGTATATGGCTGCCGTTGTGCATGTGGCAGGTTCGGTTGGGAAATCTCACCCGCGGGCTGACAGAGCGGGACGACATGACCAGATGGGTTGATTTCGATGCGCACCCATATGATTTCTTTATCGCCCTGGCGAAGAACTTGCGCTCCTCAAGTCGAAAGTAGTCGCTAGTTGTGCTGAGGCGCATGGGCGGGGACGGATGAGTGAATAGCGACATGAGCTCGTGCCCGGTCAGCGGCGCCGGGAACCTGCCACGGGAAGTAGAAGCGGGCTCGGGGTCGAGAGGGATATCGATATCTACAAGAAGGCGTCGATCGGAATCAGTGAGACTACGCGGAGGGATCGCATGAAAATCCACCTGGCAGAGACCCCGGTGCGAGCGGGGATTTGGAGTGGGCCTTATGTCGCAGGATGTCTACAAGTGGAGGCAAAGACGCCTTTCTCTCGCGATGGTGGTCATGGACGCCGAGTGAGGACCTGAGGTCCCTAGCGGAAGTGCTGGTGCGGGGGGGGGGCGTCCGAGTGCGCCATAGCCGAGACTGGGTGGAAACGAGAATTATTTGCCACGGACATGGCGAGCACCATTCGGAGGACAGGATGTTATTAGGGAGCGTCTAGGAAAACACGCGGGCAGAAAATAGGGGTGGTGTGGGAGGGGGTGGTGTAGATGAGGACAGAGGGATGGATGGCAGGGAGTACTTGCCAGTCCCGGCGCTGAAAGACAAGGGAAGAGCCGAGAGGGTGTCACCGTGTGAGAAGGTACTGAAGAGGAAGTCGCTAACAAGCGAGGAGCAGGGCATACGTACAAATAGGAACACATTGACCGTCCTCGGAAGCTGGAGGACCTGCAGAGAGGGTAGCGAACAACCAGCACCGCAGAGACGCGCAGCGAGTCAAGAATTTATAAGGAGGACCGCTGGCCGCCCCCACGAAATACAACCGTGCGAGCCCACCCACCGGACGCTCTCCCCCCCGCCAGCCGCCCCCCATCCTCGGCCCCCCGCCCCCTCCCGCTCAGAATGAGGCCCCTCCCTCCTATCGCACCGGTCCCCATCGAGGTCTGGAAGCTCAAAATGCAATGCCCCCCCACGAAGCCGTGTGACCACTTCATAGTGGCCGCTAGGCCGCAAACAAAACTACGACTCAACCTCTACGTCCAACTTGTACAAGTCCCAAACTACGGCTTCCTGCCCCTCGCCGTCGAGGCGGAGGTAGACACCGAGTTCAGTGGCCCCACCTACCTGTGCGTCGCCGGCCCAATCGTCGAAATCTGCGAAATGCGGGGAGGGCACGTCGCGATCAGGGTGGAGAACCTTTTTAAGGTCCCCGACCTGGAGCAGGTCTTCCTCCTAGTCATGCGGGAGAGTGAGATTCCGGTGGACAAAGACATTGGGAGGGCCCTGGCCAGCAGGCTCGACGCCCTTCTGTACAAGGCGAGCAACGGAGGACACAAGGTCCATACTTTCAGCAGGCGCCGCTCGGACCAAAAGCTGTACGAAGACACCGAGCACGACAAGCTCATCCCGGAGCTCTTGGACACGAAGTTCCCCATGTTGTAGTTCACGCGAGAGTAGACGAGTAGAATGATGGTATATTCGAGTACGAGCGCGGGGACTTAATACTAGAGTGTGAACTAAAGCTATAGTAATGCGGATACAAAGCGGAGGGACTTCAGTTCGCGGGGTTGCACCCGTATACGTCTCTTAGATGACAAGCGGTTGCAACCGCTAGACGCCCAGGTCAGTAATAAGAGTAAAGCCGCGGTAAGCATTCGTTTGAAGACGAATGCTTACCTTATTCCGCGCAAAGAAATGCGCGCTGGCGCAGAGTCGAACCGGTGATCTCGGGATTAGACACCAAGCGCCTCAACCACTGCACCACCGCTCCTTGTATATACGAGCTTTCTCTATTTCTACGTACCGTACTTTTCAGTCCTTTCCCGCGCTACTTCGCTCACCTTCTCCTCCTCCCAGCCCTTGCCGGTTGCACCCACTCTCGGATGCACCCACTCTCGGGTGCATCCAGCGCCGCTTCCGACCGCTCTCCTGTAAGCTTTTTTCAAATAGTCCTCGCTTGCTTCGCGCTGACATTCTGTCAGAATCTCCGACCTTTCTCGCCTCCAGCCTCTCCCGACTATCGGTTGCAACCACCTGCGGTTGCAACCTGCCCACCCACGCCACACTCCCCACCGGCAACTCAAACAGTTTCAGGCACCAATCGTCAATCGCAGACTGTACCTGTCCCACATCAAATCAGCCCCACACTACTGCGGGCAATCGTATCATCCAGCACCACGCGACTACCCCTCGAGACTCCTCACTTGTCATTCCGACTTCACCGGCATTCGTGCTATCGGCATACGGACCGCAAGGCAGTCTTGCGCCAACATTCTCTCTTCATCTGGACACACTGTACGCCCTACACCATCGCGCTCCTGCGCTCCCATCTGCCAGCCTGCTCGCGCTCGAACTCTCCCCTCAGCCAACGCGCTTGCGCTTGAGCGGTTTGCTCCGCCTATGTTCTCGCGCACCTGCACACACGTCCGCCACAGCCGTTCTGGAACAATGCTCGCCCCCCTCCGCTCCCGACTGCTCGCGCGAACACGTGCTCCTGCCATCATGTTCGGAGGCGTGCTCGTGCTCGTGAGCACAGGTCCACCTCAGTCCTCATGCCTTCGCGTCCGCCATCGTTCTATCGCAGTTTCACGACGCATACTCCCTCTCCTGAACTTCCGCCTGCCCCCGCGCTTTCGTCACCGGACTACACCCGGAGCAGCTCCGTGCCCGAGTTCTCAAACGGCGTTAAAAAGTGCTCCGCCCCGCGAGCGTTGTGCTCACACTTGCTCCCTGCCATCCTTCGTGTAAGCATTCTTAGACGACCCTCGCCAACGTCGCGCTGACATCCAGCAGTCCTTCTCATCGCCCTCTCCCAGGCATCGGTTTCAACCACTCTCGTGGCCAGCACCACTGTCTTATCGCCCGGCAACTCAAAAGTCCTCCAGGCACACATCGGCGATTGCGCAATGTCGCTGCCCCGCATCAAAAGTTGCGGCCCGGTCGTCTTACCCCGCATTCCGTTCCTTCGGCTCGGCATGTTCTTTCGTGCCCCGCGTTCTTCTCAGGCACATCGGCCACTCACCACACTCTGCTCGCCTTCGGGACCTTCCACACCCGTTCTCCTTCATTCACGTCGTCCCCGTTATAGACTACCACCATCGTCCTCGCACGCGCGCCATCCACGCGCACTCTTCCACTCGCACGTCCACCCCGTCAATCCCAGAGCGACTGCCCTATTTGCGACCTGGATGGTGAGCATGTGCCGCCTCCTCCGCCCGCTCCCCATCTGCGCTCCCCACTCACGCTCATGACAGTACCTTGACACTGGACCGCTGCATCGTGGCGCTCTCCCGTGCAGGCGGCCGCAATGGCGCCAATGTCATCTTCACGCATGCACACATTGTCCGCCGCGCCCTCCCGCTCCAGCCATCGCATCTTTGCGGCTCGGTTCCTCTGCTGCGCAGATTATCTTTCCATATAGGTCGCATGTAGTAGCATAGCATGTGTAACGTACTTCAATGCCTTAACTATGTACCCGTGTTACGGATGGACAACATCTAGCCAGAGAACTCCAAACAGTTCATCGAGTCATTCATTATCTGAGAGGGCTGATATGTACATGCAAGTGCAATACAAGAAAAAAACACCATAAAACAGACAATGACCGTTCTACATCCCCGCGCCGGACGGTATCATGTAGCCGTCCACACCCGGAAGGAGCGCAGTGGGGAATTTGATGAAAGAGTCTCCGGTCAGGGCGTACCTGTCTTCCAAAGCCCGTGCGATCCTAATGATACCAATGAACAAGGTATACTTCTCCATACTGTGGCAGGACTCACTCCGCGCTTTCGAAGGCGTACCAAGTATTGACCAGTGCTGGACGTACTAGCTCCAACACCCCCGCGCCCGCATTCCATCCCTCCGGTGGGTCCAAAACGACGGTGTGGGCGGTCGTTGCGCCGTTCAACGTGAAGCCCATAGCTTGCAAGGCCTACAAGATCATCAGTCATATGCAAACGACTTGCATACAAGTCGTACATACCTTTATGAAATCGTCAAAATTGGCCGCTCCTGGCGCCAAAGCATCCCCGCATAAAACACTTTGTACGGCCTACTAGCCGCTGAGCAAGTGCTTTACGCGTCCAGCTGGAGGTACTTACCATACAGAGTGCCATTCTCAGTGCCCAGATTACCGCCATGTTTACGACAGAGGTCGGAGTTGCAGCGGCGAAGCAGTGTTTGGCAGTGGCCGGCGATCGGGTGGACAATTTCCGCAACAGTGTTGCAGCGTGTGTCTTGGCCGAGGTGACAAGAGACGAGAGAAGAGAAGACATCGCGCTCTTGCGGGAGTCTCTATCAAGGCTATGGGGAAGTGAGGCAGAAGGCCGCGCACCCAGGGCGGAACTGGCTCAGAGGCAGGCACCCCTTCGAGCGCTCCCAGTGTGCGTGCACGTACACCCAGGTGGCCTAGCGCCCACGCTCGTCGCCGATCTCGCCTACCTACCGAATGTCTGCGTTGTTACACACGCATAAGTACCCACAACGATCACCTCTTAAGAGAGGAGTGGCTTCTGCACAATCTCTGTGTGGAATCGCGGCTTGCGAGTAAATAGCACACCTCCGTCTTTGCGGTACTATTTTGGCAGCCAGTCCTACTATTCCTACCCAGGCCCCGTACACGTCGCATGCTGGCAAGCTACGTTGTACCATTCCAAAAGAAAAACTCACCCGCTTACACGTATCGTATCTTCGCAGCGATGGACACAACGTAGTCACGTGTCCGCATCGTGGCATCAGCTCTTCCACTCCAGGCACTGGCACATACCGATCGTCTTGCCCCTGCCTCCCCCATTTCAACTGATCGCCGGCCCGCCACACGAAGTCCGACTATCTCGGGACATTCCCCAGCATTGCGCTGTGTTCCTCTGTCCCTGTTTGAGGACGCGCACCACGGCGAGTCATAGCGCTCAACACACCGTCCCGCGCAGCAGTTGTCTGGTGAGCAACCATATTCCGCCGCTGACGTACACCATCTGACCCAGCCACGACAATGCTCGTTTTGTCATGTACGCGCCCCCCGTATCCCAGTCTGGTTGGCGAAAATTCGCGGGAGGGCATTTATAGGCTGGAGGCGAGAACACATGGGAAGACGGTGTACAGGTATACAGGCTGGAAGGAGTGAGTGGCGGTCGACATACCCCCTCTCCCATTTCTGTCATCTTCACTGGAAGCAGCGCATCAAGACGATCACCGAGCTCTTCGTGCGCCAAGTAATCTGTTTAGCTCCAGAAGCTGAAGTGCCCCTGGTCAGTCTCTCTCCCGCCTGTCGGTCCTATGTGAAGGTTCTGACCGTTACTCTCCCAGATGCAGATCATCACCATCCACATGCGCCACGGCGACTTTGCAAATTGGTGCTGGGCCGCAGAGACCCGACGGCCACTTGGTGCCGCTCCCTGTCATCGCTTGCCGCGTCAGGTAAGTGTCCCCTCCCCAATGCACTCACCCCGCGCACATTGCTCACTGGGGCCTCCCCTCTGCCCGTCTTTTCTTCTCCTCCTGCTCGACACTCGACACTCCACGCTGCCCAGCCCACCGCCCCCCGCTGATGCGACTGCCCAGAACTCCGTCCACGTCCCAGACATGGCGATTTACGCCCCACCGCGCAGGTACCCTCCCGCCGCATGCGATAGCCGTGCTCACGCCCCAGGTACTCACCCCCCGCATGCAATAATCATGCTTACACCATCGAATATCAGCTCAACGCCACGGCTGCTGACGACGGCGCCCGCCACTTTGTGTTGTCGTAGATACGGCCACGAACGTAGACGCAGTGCAGCGGACGCATAGCGGACGACGGCAAGCTTCCGGCGTGGAGCCTTGATGTACACCCATGTACAGGCGACGAGCCGCGACTGCTATAAAACATTGGCAGCAAGTATGAGGTTAGGTATACGTAGGACTGCAAGGGCAGCGGTAAACTATGAGACTTACTGCGCGCTGGTGAGATCAAGACCAAGAAGTGCAGGACATGAGAGAGATGTCGCAATCACGACAAGCGAAGGCCCTTCGCACAGAACAAACCTTGCGTTGATCAGCATCTGCGAAGACTTCTAGCATCATTCGGAATGAGTCTGTTCAGTACATACAGCATATGAGATGTCCATGCACCTGCTTGAACTTATCGAAAGTGAACATCATCTCGTTCACGTCCTCCTCCTCTTCCTTCTGCCGCAGCTCTTCTTCGATGCCAAGCACGCTCTTGGCCAGGCCCTCACTATCTGGACAACTCCCCGGCTTTAGGGGACTTGGAGAGGTCTTCGCGCTGCTCGCTCCTCCAAGCACCGCTCTGTCGGCTAGGTATGATTCGCTTTCAGCCACTCGCCCGCCATATGCGTCGTGTCATAGCGGGTCAGAAACACTGCAAGCGTGCATTGCGCAGGCTCACTTACCATGATTTTCGTGTTCTGTATGACTGCACGCGCCACACCAGCATCCAACCAAGCACACTCCACTCCTTTGTGCATGTCGATGACCGCTCGCTCGTCCGTCTCTGTAAGTATTACGGTTGGCGCCTTTGGCACCCGAGGATAGACTGGGTCAAGCAGTGTGTTTCAGGTGGTAAAAGCGTAAGGTACATTGAGTGCTACGATGTCCATGAGACCTTGGGTCCTGTACAGTACCAAGCCACCGCCCGATACCAAAGTATCGGTGCGCGGCGGGCGCTTACTCGGCGCCTATCTACGACGCGCCTCGCAGGCGTCACACCCTCCCCCTCTGGGCCGGACTCGGGCCACGGAGCTAGTCGTCCAGTTCACCAATAACGATCAGGTGGTCCCATGCGGGCTCTGCACGTACGACACCCCTCGCATACCGAATTTGTCGTCGGAGTCGTCGCTACCAAAGCTGATGGCGTCCTCCTTGTCGTCGGCAGGACGTTGGAGTGCCCGTGAGGAGCTGGCACGGCTTGCGACCGGTGAGCGAGGTTGGCCCACGCTGGGCTCGCTGGTGGTTCCATCCGAGTCGGGAACGAACACCCTAGTGCTCGGGAAGTCCGGCGACTCGAACACGCGCGGTCCCCACTGGATGGTCTCACGACCCACGACCTGGAGAGCTAGCGGCGACGCCGAGAACTCCTCCACTGTATCGAAAGGGAGTGCGTGGGTGCGAGACTGATCCGGCATACGTTCACGGGATAACCGAGCCCATCGCTCAAAGTACAGGATGTAAGGATCCATGTCTCCGAGTCCGAATTCGGCCAGCCAGGCCGCAAGGAGTGTGATGTTCGTGTCCTTGAACGGATAGGCCGCCACGACACGCCGGGGGTGGACAAAGTACCCGCCCAGTTCGCAGATGTGTCGATACAGCCCGGGGACGGAGAACAGCGCGACCAGGTTTTGACAGATCGATGCCCCGTGGAGCTTGGTGCTCTCCGCACGCTCCGTTTTGGGGATAGTCCGCAAGTGCTTGGCGAGGAACGCGCCGTAGGCATCGTCGGGGCTGGGGTCGCCAAACGTGAATGTGTCCTTCCGAGGCATGGTCCCGTCCACCAGTCGAAGCCCCATACTCCAGTTGGAGGTCGGGATGTTCCAGTAGTACACGCTCACCGTACGTTTGGAGGCGGTGGCCGCGGGGTAGGGGAACGTGTTGTTGGACAGGGTGGGCCAGTACGTCTCAGGCCGACTGGGCCGCCCCTGCTTGAGCGTGATGTGGTCGGCGGGGGAAGCTGCGAGCAGGTACCGGATGCCGGCTGCGCGCTGCAGTTGCGGGAGTGAGTACAGCTTCCAGACCGCCTTGAGGTACGAGATGGAGGCGTGGTCGAACTCCACCGCCGCCATCCATCGCAGGTTGTGGGCTTGAATGACGGAGGAGATGGCGGTCCCCGCCCAATGGCCCAGCCGGCGGGTGCTCTCATGGAACACCGCCAAAGCAGCATCCCGTCGGTCGGACGAGAGCCCTGCGGAGCGAGTCAGTCGGTAGGACTCCTCCTGCTCCCCGTTCGCGGTCATGTCGTGGCCACGGGCCGCGATGGGGTCGGGGAAGGGGCAGTCGACTTCGTTGAAGTCGGCATCGTCTCCCAACTGGAACTCGCCGGCGGCGGGAGACCTGCACTTCCACCGACAGTACCAGGCGGAGAGGGGCTGCTTCAACTCCTCGAGATCGGGGTCGGGCTGATTGCGCATTGCGCCAATCTGCGCAGGAGTGAGGCCGCGGGTGACAGGGACGTCCGTGAGGGGAACGACAGGCCGCGCCTTGCGGCAGGTCGTCTGCTCCTCGGTGGACAGAGTCAGCTCGTCCTGCATGGCCCGAGGACCCGTCGGAGTGGGGGGACCTGCCGCGGCCGGCGGTGGCCCAGCGGCCGGGTCAGAAGGGGCGGCCGGTGGCGGAGTTCTAGCTCACGCCGGGGGTTGAGACAGGGGGCGAGCGTCGACCATGATGACGTCCATCGCGGATGACTCGGCGGGCTGGCGTTGGGATCGCTCGGAGTTGGACGCCCGCACCGGGGAGGCGGATCGTCGGGAGAGGCGTTGGCTGAGCGGGGGAGGTGATCTTGCCCCGATGCGGGTGGCAAGGGGGGGCGCGCCGCACCAGACCTTGTAGTAGAACTACGTTGTACCCTTGCAATACTAAGGCACATGATTGCATCCTGCCTTGGTAATACTGGGCTTAGCAAACGTACCTACGACACGTCGTGCTGTGACGCGTCCTCACGCAGATGTCTCTTACACTACGTATTACTGTAAAGAACGCGTCGGACTCTGGGCACGTGCACGCACATGGCTTTGATGCCCACGCCTCGCCCACTACCGCCATCCGCGCCCGCCGCCGCGCAATTCCCCCATGCCGCGCCCACCTGCATGCCTGCGCTCGCGCCCAGACCCGTACCGCACCCCACCGCTACCCGCTGCACCCACCGCACCCGCCGCACCCGCCGCCGTCCACCGCGCCTGCAGCGTCGCACTCACCTCCACGCCCCCGCCTTCGCGTCCTCGCACCCCCCGCCTTCGCGTCCTCGCACCCCCCACCTTCACGTCCTCACGCCCCCACCTTCGTGTCCTCGCGCCCCCGCCCTCGCACCCTCGTACTCACCCTCGCATCCTCGCGCCCCTGCCTCCCCACGTCCTCGCGGCCCCACGACCCCACTCCGTGTCCGTGCCCCACTCTCCATCCGCGCCTACGCTCGTCCCCGCGTTGCCATGTGCATCCGCGCCCCGGATTACCCCACCCTGCGCAGCCGGCTTGACCGTCTTGATGGCCTGCTGCCTCAGCGGCGCGGCGCGCGTAAAGCTAGACCTTGCGCTTCTTCACGGCGCCGATGCGGCTGGGCACCTCCAAGCCGCGGTTCCTGTATGAGCAGGTGAGTAAGAGTTGCACATACACATGTTACTGACGTACCTTTGCTGGGCGGGGGCTGCAGCACTGCTGCCGTCGCTGACTGGCCTTGCAGCTACCCATACTTGGGCGAAGACGTAGAGCATGTCTTCCAGCGCGTCGAGCCAGTCTTGCTGAGCCTCTGCATCAGCATCCTCCACCGCTGCCCCCCACCAAGCCGCCGTAAGGAGGAATAGCACAAGTCCATTCGGGCCCGTGACGCACAGCTGCATCCACAACGCTGTGGAACCGTTCGTGGGGGTATACCAGCCAGCGCCGCCCATGGGCCGGTCGGCAGGTTGATTGTTGTACCACCAGGCCCACCAGCCGCTAGCGAAGACGTCAATGTTGTCAATGTCGACGTCAGTAAGCGGGCGGTGGTGCTTCATCCATGCGGCGACTTCTTGTGGACGATGCTCGGTCGATTTGGGCAGCCGCCCACGTGGTTGGAATCCGGCCCGGCGCTCGATATCCACATACAACTTGACGAGAGCATGCCAGCGCGAGCCCCACCCGCCCTCACCGAGTAGGTACTGGACAATGAGTCTCACATCGTCGGGGCAGTCGTCAAAGCCGCCGTGAAGAGGGGACAGGTCTACACCTCCGTCGATGGCTGGTGTCATTGAAGACTGATGAACCGAGGGCGGCACATGTGCAGTGGAGGGAGTGGGCGCCGTAGCGGGAGTGAGTAGCGAAGGCTGTCCAAAGCTTTCCTGCAGCGCGTCGTCAGGGGCAGTTTGCACAGGGCGGGCAGAAGACGCATTCGAAAGCGCTTGGAACGCGTCGAGGTTGGGCGGGATGGACGGAGCACGGGATAAGGACGACTGAACGGGCGTCGACACTGCACGGATGTGGCTCGAAGCGTGGGTGGTTGGGCAGGCAGGTGAAGTCGGAGATGTTGGGGAAGGAGGAATTGGGTCACCCAAGCGCCCTCCCACAACGTACGGGGGAGCCGACCCGCCACGCAAAGGACTAGGAGTTCTGGGGAAAGTGGAGGAGAGTCCATGGCCAAGCAGCGCGCTAGCTCTTGTGGCTGCCCCGGTGAGCAGAGACGTGGTGGGAAGCAGCGGGATTGGCGGAGCCTTCTTTGCCATGCACTTTGCAGACGTTGCCACGCGGTGTGCGGGTGCTATGGCCGCATGGCTTGCAGACGTCCTCGCGTGGGATGCGAACACCGTTGTGCCGTCTACAGGCGGCGCGGCGCGGTCCGTGGGCATCGCGGCACGGTCTGCGAGCATCGGCGCGCGGTCTGCAGGCGTGGGCGTCGCGGAACGACTTGCGGGCGTCGCGGAACGGTTTGTGGGCGTCGTGGCGCGGTCTGCCGGTGTCGTGGCGCGGTCCGTGGGCGTCGCAGCGCGGTCCGTGGGCGTCGTTGAGCTACTTCGGTCCGCCGTGGCGTGGCGTATGGTGTGGATGCGCGGCCGACAGGCGTCGTCGCACGGCTTGTGGGGGTCGTGGAGCGGCTTCTTGTCGAGGAAAGTGATGCCGTGGCCTCAGCCGTATCGATATGGGCTGCCTCATCGTCTTCAGACTGATCTTCTGCAGGTGTGCGGCGTAGGGCACGAGCGGCACATTCATCTGGAGCTGCAATGTACAGAACAATTAGCATCGCACTCTTCTCCATAAAATGAGACCACATACTGAAACAAACGCGCGCGAACTTGGCCATAGACTTGCTGACTGAAGTGAAGGCGGCCTCGTCAAACTCGGGCCACAGTTTGGGCAATAGACCCGGTGATTTCCCTACATGAATGCTGCTACAGGTTAGCAACAACACCCCAACGTATAGAAAAACGCAAAATCGCACCAGCGTACCCCAATGTCACCGCTGTTCTCTCCAATAGGACTGGCAAGGAAAAGAGAGATGTTCATACCCAACCGCCGTGCAATATGCTCAGCGAAGGTGTTGAGCCATTGGCTAGCAGCCTGAAGCTCGCTAAAAACCTGTCAGCAGCCCGAAAGACATCGGTGAATGAGAGCCATATACCTGTGATATTCTTCCGGGCTGTTGGGCAGCGAGGGCTTCGCCAAGGTGGCCCGATACTCGGCGACGCGCTGCTGGAAGTCTGCTTCAGCCTCGTCCAGTAGCTGGGCCCGGAAGTCCTCGCTTTCGGCCTCGAACAGACGCTGCGTGACTGCGTTGGAGATGGGAAGGTGCATCGGAGGCGTCTGGCCTGAGGACAACGCGGCTTCACGCAGCCTATTATACTCTGCGTCAACCGTCGCCTTGACGCGGGTGTCGTAGTAGGTGCACTGGTAGTACTGGAGCGGGGAGCTGCGTCGCGGACGTTTGATCGTCGCCTCCATAAAGTCGGCGAGGATCGTAGTGAGGGGGTCGACCTTGTCGGCCTTGAGGGCCTTGAGGGACTTCTTCCCGTGATGGCGGAACCAACGCTGAAGGCGCTGATGAAGAAATGTTCAGTACCGGTCGAGATCGGAAGAGCAGGAAGACTTACGCCACGGAGCGCTTTGAAAAGCTTCGTCCTTCGAGCAGCTTCGTCAGGAGGAAGGCCATTGTATTTGATGACGGCCTTCAGGTCTTCCGGGGAGGGGTCTTCAACCATAGGAGGAGCGTCTTCCTCCACAGGAAGGTCCCATCCCCACATGCAGAGCCAGGTTGTGGTGACGTTGGAGTAGAAATCGGAGATACCAGTCAAATGCCTGCTCCCCGCTTCCTTCGTCTGATCGACTTCCCTCCACTCCTCCATTCGAGACTCCAGGAATGCAAGCTTCAATCCGGTAGCCCAGCAACGATTGTCGACAGGTGGTGAATCAGTGAGGATGCTAGCATCGTTGGCTGCGTCGGTGGCCTTCGATTTGCGGCGGCGAGACATGATATCGAGAAACGGAAAGTGCGGGAAGCCAGGAAGCGGAAGAGGTCGATCCGGCCAGAGGTATAAACGAGCATAGTGCTATAGCTAGGGAATGACGCACGGAACATGACAAGACGAGCAAGGCTGCCAAGAGCGCCAACAACGTCGAACAGCGAACAACAGAAGCAAATGGTCCGTGCGCCGCAGGTGTGGCGGGGGAAACGGGGACACTGAGAACATTGATGTCTAAATCGGGCGACCAAGTCCTCCGGAAGTAGTGCCAGAAGTCCTCGAGAAGGTGCCTCTGCCGCCCAGACTCCACTGCCATGAGCTAAATTTGGCCACTCTCCCCCTGTCACCCTCTCATCGACCAACTCACAGCGTACTCATTCCCATCGCTTCAATAGCCGCGTCTTCGCACGTGAGCGACCCCCAGAGACCTCTCTGTGCAATCCAGCGCGCCGTCGCTTCATGCCACGACCATAACCGACGGCTCAATGCATATATAAGACGTCTCAGCACTCGCCCGACTCCCCCAGGCTCTCTCCTCCAGCCACCACTTCGCCCTCCCCGGAGGGTCGTACTCTTGCTGCGCCGCCAATCTTTGCTGTTCATACTGCCCATCACCCGCCATGACCGGCGCCACACCCCCGCTCGTTGATGAATCTCTGTTACCGTCCACTTCACGCTCGACTACCTCGAGTTTCAGCACAGCCTCTTATTCCGATGACAAGGAGGGTATCCCCATCCTGCTCTGGGCCAACCTAAATGAAGACGCGTACCGTCACGGTAAGTGTTTGCCGTTAGGGGTCAACTGTATTCTAACTCTAATGTTTTACAATTTGCAGCAATGTCCGGCTGGGTGTGCGTCGGTCCGGCTGGGCGGCCAGTATCCGAGGAGGATTGGTTGCTGTTTGGGATGCTCTCGGATGAGACGTCCGGTGAAGTCGATGACTGGTACGTGTCCGGCCTGTCATGTATCAGTGCAGCGATAATGAAGCACTTCGCATAGGTTTCGCGGCGCATGCAGCCAACGCTTCTTCGATTCAAAGGTCATCGTGCCGGAGACAGAAGGTGACAAGCCTCTGTATGTGGTGTATCGCGGAGCGGGCACCGGGCCCGGCATTTACAGGGATTGGTAAGTGTTTCGCCAAGAATAGTATTCACCGTTAGAGTTGAGCGCAAGCAGGGCCGACATCGTCGAAGTCGTGTTAGGATACCACGGGGCGCTGTACCAGCGATGCCTCGGCTGGACTGACGCGGCGTTGCGCATGATGCAGGCGCTCTACATCGGTGGGCTCGTCAGCCGTCTGCCTTGTTCGGCTCGCCGCGCACCGGACATGGGTTCCTGGCTGTCGGCGCTGAAGACGAAGACCCCCGACCGCCCGCTGTACTTCTCTGACGGTATCTGGCCGTCTCCAGTGATCGTCTGTCCGTTGCCGGACGCTCATAGCGTTTGGCGAAGCGTTGAGCTCGGCAAGAAGTCGGCGCATCGAATTGAAGAGGTTCCAGTCCATCCGCTTGCTCCTCAGCCGCGTCGGCTGACCGAACTAGCAGAGGAACGTCGAGAACAGGTTGCAGCGCCCCGCGGAGACCGACGCGGCGCTCATGCCGCCCAATCACCCTCCCTTTCGGCCGTCGGTGGTGGTCAGGGGCAAATCCAGCCCGGCCGGGGCGACGGGAGCAGCGCGGTGGGTGCCGGTGCCGTCGATGTGGGCGGCGGCCAACCGGTAGCATGTCGGGCTGCTGCAGAAGGCTATTCAGTCGTCATGAAAGGCCGCACGCCCTGGATCTATTCGACGTTGTAAGTTTCTACACAGGTGTCTGTTATTTAATTAACGATGTATTGCAGCGTCGGCTTGCAGGCCATGACGGATCGCTGCGTCTGTCTTTTCCAGTGGTGCGCGACGTTCGCGGAGGCCCTGGAAGTCATGAAGCGGGCTCTGCGTGATGGACAGATCGTCTCGTCGTGGGAGGCGTAGTCGACGCTACTAAACGAGGCCCTCGCCCTCGTCGCCTGTGTCCGTTTTGTGAAGTTCAATACCCTGTCATATCATGTAGTTTGTTGCTCTCCGTTCTGTTCTGTTAGTACTCGCATATCGCTCTCAAAATGAACTGTTTTCGCTTGCATGTCCTGCACTTGTGTGGTCAGCTTTGCACGTTGTGAGTGTTGGGTGTCGGAATGCAAAGAACATGGAACGATAAGGATGTGAGTGCATTGCATTGTTACGACTTGACGGTCATGGCGATTGAGTGGCCGGGGAGTTGTCTATTTTACAAAAGCTGGGGCGCTAACATACATACATAAGCTCGTTGGAGGTCTGTTCATGCACGACATGGTGAAACATGTATATTCCTGACAGTCTATCCTAGAGGTGTGGGTTCAAACAACTGTTCTCGCCGTCTGTCTGTCGCGCCGCTGTATACGAACGGATGCTATCCTACCACTTGTGCACCAGAAGGTTCTCTGCGACCAATTTTTGCAACTTCAATCATATTCGTAAAATAAGAACGCGCTTTCACAATTTCAGTGCTTTCAGGGGGCGTGTTCGCAGCAATCAAGATTCAAGCGGTAGTAGTGCTTGAGATTCGGCGCGGGCTTCCTGCTAGTGCAGTACTATTCTATAGCTTAATAAAAATGTTGTAGCACTGCTAGTCCCGTTCCCGTCATTTTAAAGGCTCAGCTGTACATGGTACTGCAACTCCGAACCAATGAGGCTCCAGAGTGATAATAACAGCCTACCAGTACCTTCGCTACCTGTTATCCTGTCCAAGTGTCTGCCGTCGCGGGGCTGTAAGCGCCACGGAGCCATGTATGAGTGCTGAGCATCTAATTTTCAAATGGTACGTGGGTGATGTAACACCGCGAGAGAGGTTTGAAAGCTGGCGGGATTTGCGACCAGGGGTGTCGGTGAGTAGTACGTACCACAGGGCAGCGTGCATCACCTGTCACAACGCGGACCCTGTGGATTCGCAGGCAGTCAGAGCACGCCCTAATCATAGACAATCGATAGATTGACAGGGACGCCCCGTTTGAAGACGGCATTAAGGGCGGAGGCGTGCGCGTGCACGCTGCTGCAAACTTCTAACACGCTCGAAGCCTGGCCCTAAACGGGAAGTGCCTTACCATATTTAGTAAGCTGGCCGCACTGGCGCTCCGTGCCGCCCTCTTTCTCTCTTTTCTTCCTACCTGGCGCGCTCTTCCTCCTCAAAGCTGCGCCCCCTGCCTCTCTGCGTCGTGAGTCCCGCCGCTCCTATTTTTCTCCCCCTCCCTACCTTCTTTCTCTGCCGCTGAGGTGGCTGCAGTCAGGCGCTGCGCCTGTACGCTGGGTCGTGCTCCGGCCCTACGACAGGCAGCACCTGCACTTGCCCTGCCCAGCGGCAACTCCTTCACTCCTTTCGAACTTGACTGGCCTCTATGCGGTGCGATCTTGCTTACTTTCCAGGTCATTTCTCTTTCACGTAGCAGGCCTGCTCATGCTGCCCCACCAGGTACGACTCGCCCCTATACTAGGCGCGGCCCTCATGCACTGACGCGCTGCCTCACACAGACGAGAGCTGGGCGAGTCTTCTCGCCGTACAACACCATTGCTAGCGGCCTGGACACTGTGCGACTCGTCGAGCTCGCCTTTTCCGACGACCAGCAAGGCCTAGACAGCTGGGAGCTTGCTCCCCTCACGCCGCTCTCCTCCCCCGACCTCTCGGGCGAGACACGCTTGCCCCATTTACCTTCCGGCGACCCCTCATGCAATCCTCTTCCGCCGCCGCTTTTTGGAGCAGCGCCAGCCGTGTTCGCTAGCCGCGACAACAACACCGCGAACTCGCCCGACAGCTCTGCGGGATTTCCTCCGGCCGCCGCCCCTCCTCCCTCCTCTCACACGTCTGCCGACCCGCTCTCAGAGCCCCGTGCTGCGCAGATGCCTGCCGCTGGCGGCCCTTCCACCTCGCACAGAAGCGTGCACTCTAAGAACGGAAAGTGGGCTCGCCGCCAACACAAGCGCGCCGAGGCTCAAGAAGCTGGGCTGGGAAGGAAGGCGAGGTCGTCGCACGCCAAACGCGCTGCTCAGGCAGCTGCTCTTCCTAGGGCGCTGGACGCCAGCCAGCTTCCCATCGCCAACGGTGCCTACACCGGGAAGAACCTCACGGACGCCGGAGCACCCTGCCGTACGCTGGAGGAGCTAGTAGCAGACGGCTACACGTACTTCGAGTGGGACAGCGCGTACGTTAATCTGACCCCTCTCGCTACCGCTTTCCCTCACCGCTCTACGCCCCCCAGCACGCCTTTCAAGATTGTAGACAAGGACGGCCGCGTTATTGGGCTCCTGGCAGGACGGCCAGCGGATGCGTCGTGGGACGACGTGGCCTCGAGTGCATACAGTGCCATGGCAGAGGCCGCGGAGGCATGCCAATTCAAACCCAAGCATTCTGACCATCGCCGGGGCCAGTTCGCGACGCTTGCCACGGGTGTTTCGTTTGGAGGGGGGAGGACGGTGCGTTGATGTGTTGATGCCAGCTCCCCGTGCTCGCAGCGGCTCATGCGCTGCAGGTACCGGGACACGTCGACAACAGCAAGTGGAATCAGAAAATCCTATCCGACTTGTGTGCCGTGCCTGCCATTCGGCGGCTCGCAGGGTTTGGCAGCGGTGAGTGGGCTCGCCGTGCTTCCTCGCGCACAGGGGTGACCACATTGCTGGCCCTCTTAGCTATGCTCTCCACGTACGCGCCGCGCATCTTCGAGAGGACCCAGTGCAGGCTCCGGGCACTACGCGAACACCATCCGTCGCTACGCTTCAACTTCGACAACAGCATGTACCCCGCAACCACCTTCAACTTCGGCCCCGCCACTGTCTGCGTAGATCACACCGACGCCGCCAACGACGCCTGCAACTGGTGCCACGTCGTCGCTCTCGGACACTTTGATTGCGATCGAAGCGGTCAAATAGTATTCCCGGACCTCAAACTGGTAGTCCGCTTCCCTCACGGTGCGAGTATTCTCATTCCCTTGGCGATAGTCCGCCATGGCAATACCCCGATCGGCCCGCAGGAAACGCGCATGTCGATGACCCAATACTGCGCCGGGAGCCTTCTTCGTTGGGTAGAGCGCGGCTTCCGCACCGTGAAGACACTCGAGGCAGAGGATCCTGACGAACATCGGAGATATCTCGCGGGTTTGAAAGATCGGGTTCGAGAGTCGTGCGCTCTATTCGAATGCATCGACCTCGCAGCTGTAGGTGGCTCGGCTTAGATGCGAAGGAGTGCGGCCCAGGGGTGGTTCGGTTGGCCCGGGATTGTTGCTTTAGGCTGCCGCCGAACATTTTGTGTATGTGAGCATGTTGCGCTGCTCCTAAGATACTCCGTTGATACCCCCACCAGGTACCTGCTCCTGCCCTTATCTGTTACTATGAATATCTTGTGCTCCCCGTACTTAAGGTGTCTCAGAGTGAGCTGCCCACGACATCCCCTCCGCCTCTCTTCATTTACTATGACCAAGAAGGCAAAAACAAAATCGAGCGGATTCTACCAGCCTCGGCAGCCCGTCGCCACCAGCACGTCGCTCTCTGCGGATGGGCACCGTCAAGTCGTCTCCCATCACGTATTCGACTTCCAGGACGTCGCTGTTGCAGACGTTGCTCCACCGCAGGACGCCCCCGCGCCCGCCGACACCGACGAGTCTCTTGCAGATGCCAATGCGTTGTTGGAGCCCGAGCCTGTTGAAGGCATTCGCGGCGTGTCGGTCATTACGAAGACCCGCGCGAAACGCTATGCGGCTTCCGTAAGGTGTTTCCTTTGAGCCTCAACCTATCTCACCACAATTCATCTTTAGGACAAACCCCTCGCGGCCTGGAAGGCGTTCAGAGACGAATATCTCGACGAGATATTACGTCTGGAAGGGCGCGGAAGCTTCCGAGGAGTGAGCTCCTGCCCTGGTTGCACAGCAGGCATCCCGAAGTTCCGATGCTGCGAATGTCTGGGCAGCCAGCTGCTGTGTCAGGCTTGTTTGATTACCAGCCACCAACTCCTGCCGCTGCATCGCGTTGAGGTACGCCCGCGGCCCGCCCCACTGAGTGCCTCTCATCATTGATTTTCTAGGAATGGTCGGGCACATTCTTCAAGCGCACCTCGCTGCGCGAACAGGGCGCCGTTCTGCGCCCCGCCCACATCTTCGAGTCGGGCTGCGTTGCAGCACAAGTCCCAGTGGAAATGGTCGTTTTGCACCTCAACGGAATCCACCTCGTACAGGTGGAGTTCTGTGACTGCTCCGCCTCCGAGCGCCGCTCCCAATTGCTGCGCCTTGGCTGGTGGCCCGCTTCCCCGTTCGAGCCCAGGACGTGCATCACAGTGGCTCTTCTCCGCCACTTCCATCTTCTGAACCTGCAAGGGAAGCTGCCTGCATACGACTCTACCGGGCTCTCGAACTTGCTACCGACAACGTTGGGCTTCAGCGCCCTCCTGTACGTGGTCCCGCTGTCAACTCGCTGCTCTAACCTCACAATCATTCAGGATAGGGCTAGCGTATTCATGCTCGCGGTACGAGAGTGGCGCCACGTCACCATGGCTAGGCGAGCCGGCCGTGGACACGACCGCTCAGGAATCGACGGTACGGAGGCGGGGGGATTTGCGGTGCAATGTCGGGCATGCCCCCAGCCCGGCATAAACCTTCCCGAAGGCTGGGAGTCCACAAGGCCAGAAGATGCGTAAGTGGCGGTTCATCTGCACGGCAGGCCTCCTCATAGCGCTGACGGCTTTGAGTGTTACAGATGGCTCTATCAGCTCATGATATCTCAAGACGCAAATTTCCGCCTGAAGAATCGCCTCAGGCATTCAAGTCGGGAGCACACATGGCTCAGCCCTGGATTGGTGTACTTCGTGAGCAGCGACGAGTACGCCAAATACATCGGAGAGTACGCTGCTACCCAGGACGACGTATGTGAGCTTTCGAAATCTCGACGGGTGGCGGCACTTACTCTTGTTTGGCAGGTTCGGACCTGTTCCGGCTTTGCGGCGTTGCTCAACACTCTGACTCGCAAGTCGAAGGGCCTACGCTCCACGGGCGTGGTGGCAGTGAGCTGTCGGCATGAGCTCTGCCGTGCAAACGGTCTTGGAGATCTTCAGAAGGGCGAACGGTGCGTGCTTTCCCTACTTTGATATCGAGCAATCGCCGACGCGCTCTGCAGGTACCGCAACATGGACTTTGTCCTCGCTTCCAGCATTCGCCGCACCCTCCTCAAGTCGATCAAGAACTCTTACGATGTCGCATGCGAGTGGCACAAGAATTTCTTTTCTCGTATCGAAGACTTACCCGAGAACTTGCGCCCGCGCATCCCAGCGGACGGATGGACCTTCCTGGTTCCCAAATTCCACGTTGCGGCCCACAAGGAGTCATGCCAAGCAACATACTCGCCTCACTGGTCGCTGTACGCCGCGCGATTTGACGGGGAGCACGTGGAGCGTATCTGGTCCAGGTTGAATCAAGCTGCGCCGAGCACGAAGGAAATGGGACCGGGAGCACGGTGGGAGACCCTGGACGACTTCTGCGGGTTTAATAACTGGCGGAAGATTACTCAGCTGGGTGAGTGAAAGATCGCTGGCCATCTGCAAATCACCATTAATACCACTGTGCCTCGTAGGTGACGACTTGCTCCGGTGGCAAATTGAAGCCATTCCCCAAGCGGCGCTCCACCAAGCCGACTTCGAGTCCTTCGATCGCTTCCTCCGCCGCCAACGCCCGCAAGATGTGCAGGAGTGGGAGATCATGACCGTCAATTGGGAGCGTCGCCGCCAGGGTCCCAACCCTTATGTTCTGCCGAAAACCAGTAAGCTTGTTGAGGTTAAGGCCTGCACTATGCTGATGCGCTTAGCAGCCGTCACCCGCGCCGACATCCAACTACAATATCTTACAGCGGAGAACGCTGCCATTGCGGACGGAAACGTGGCGGGACACGACGGGACTGCAGTCGGGTTCATTGTACTCGGGCTGGAGATCCGGGAGGCCCAGTAAGTCGCTTCAGTTGTAGCTCATAACCGGCTCACTCACAGCGTGTTCGCAATGCCAGGGTTGCCTTGGCACACCAGAAGAAGGCAGCCACCACTACCTTACAGCAACTTGGCTGGCACAAGTGCGCCGTACCGGTCGTCAACAAGCTCGCACGCTTCTTCGAACTGCAAGCACGCTACATGCCTGGCTTGTCCACTCACGCACACCAGGGTGCTCCCACTGTCAAAACCGTCAATTCGTGCCCCATCGTTCTTCCCTCTGATCTCGACAGCACTCGCCGTGCTTCTGCCTGCGTTGAAGGGCTCCCCAAGATCGAAGATGAGCTTCGAGAAGCTGACACTCAGGAAGCCCTCGAAGCCCTACGCCACGCGCTTCGGATGCGGACATCCTACAATGTGGATAAGATCAAGAACGTCACCGGCCAGGTGCACAACACCCGCGCTCGCGAGAAGCAGGCGTCCGTCGACGACACCGTCAATGACGAAAAACAATGGTACCGTGAAGCTCGCAGCGCCCTCGAAAAGCTGCGCGGTGCTGGAGACTGGCAGCACGCCTTGCGAGTTCTCCTCGATAGCGATGTTGTAGGGCTGAATGAGCGAGCCCTCACTCGTGAAGAGCTTTGTCGAGAGGTCGACGAGAAAAGAGCGAGGAATAACGATGTTATTACGAGCAGAAGGTGACTAGTACTTATAGTAGAGAATAATAGAAAATTTCTAGTGTGCTAATAAGCGCTTTGTAGTCAGTCAATGCCAAGCTATACGAAAGGAGTAAACCAGTAACTAAATGATCCTAGCTAAGTAAGAAAGGCCGTGTTTGTAATGTAAGCAGACTCGGAGGCGTCCTGCGGCCGTGCCGCCAGGCCGCGCAACAAGCTTGCTGAGAATGAGCGCCTGCGCGAGATGGGCAACGCAGTTCAGGATGGAAGTGTTCCGCTGTCCGGGGTGGTCAGCGTTGGGGAGGGGCGCAGGACCTTATCCTGGATCTGGTACAGCGTAGGAGTCGAAGTGACGCTCCAGGGCGACGTCAATGATCCGGGCTTGTGCGACGGTACATGTATGGGACATCTGGCAAAGTTCCTAGCTGATTCTTCCCCATCAAGCACTACACGTGGAATGGGCAAAGGCAAGGGCACGCGCAGTGCGATGGAACGAGCAGGTTCGACTCGTCGAGGAGGAGATGAGGTGCACCATCGAAAGCACAAGGTACGCGGCAAAGCAATGGAACCTCATGCGGTCTTTTCGCCAGACCCAGAACAACGCCGAGGCATTCGACGCCGTTCTCGATGAAGGACTCATCGCATACGCCGACCGCCATTGCGTCATGGAGACCTCATTGGCGGACGCATTCGAGGTGAAGTGGCGCGCGGTGCACACGCGAGCGGCCTCCTTCATCAACAGCGAGCATTCCACCGCCAACGAGCCCGCGGCAAATCCGAGCGAGGGAGAAGTGACGGAGGTGGTGGAGCTCGAGCTAGATGCGGGTGAGGGCGACGACGGCGAGGATGGGGAAGGACACGAGTTTTGAAAGCCCGGTATGTTGCCTCTCGTCTCCTCCGGTCTTTGTATGGTCACGCACATGTATGCGGCTTGCACTGGACTGCTTCATTTTCTGATCCACCATATTGGTTCCAGCCTCTTGGCTGTACGTCCTGATTCAGCAGCTCTTGTGACGCGCTTGCCCTGCACGTACTAAGGCCCGCCCGCCGTCATGCATACAGGTCAACCCATGCCACAACAGCAGGGTCTGAGTCCAGCTAGACCACATGAGCATTTTCACGCTGCATGAGAGCAGGGAAGGTGAAGAGATGCTCGCATCACACCTGCGACGGACATGGCTGCAACGATAACGGTGGCGGGCAAAGTCTCGCCAGCGATGGCGGGCCTGACGACTACTGTGGGCACAACCGCAGGCAGAGCGCGCACGCCAACGGCACATACGGCCGCAGACTCAGTGACAGCATGCGCGGTTCGATGACCGCCGCGGACGCGGACTCAACACGGACCGCGGACGCGGACGCCGCGGAGCTCGCGGACGACAACAGCGAGCCCGACGACGGACGACGACGGACCCAACTACGGCTACAACGAGCGCAAACACGTACGCAACAGCGGCGGACACGGTCGCAGTGGCGACAGCAAACGCAGACTCGACAGCAGCGGCGGGCCCGACAACTACTGTGTGCACAAACGCAGACGTGGCACATGGATACGGACGTGGACCCGACGGCGACGACGCACACGGAGACAACGAGGGCGGATGCCCACACGGTGATAGGGGGCGTGGACTCAACAGCGACGGTGCGCACGTGTCGCAGTGCGACGTGTTGTAGGTACATCTGCAAAGCACGTCAATACCAAGGCAGGATGCAATTGTGTGCCTTAGTATTGCAAGGCAGAACATATAATTCCTACAAGGTCGCCTCCGCGCCGCGTCACTAATCCGATCTTGCAGCGGGATGGGGGAAGGGGCCCGCTTAGGTCCCGATCCGCTGGGCGACCTGGGTCGGCTCGGCGTGCGTGGCGGTTGCGCGGAACGGCACCCTTCCCGCCTACGGTCGTCGTCCCCTTGCTCTGATCCGGCACGCTGAGCTTTCGCATCAGCGAGCTGTCGCTGGAGGCGCTGGACTTCGTTGAGCAAGTCAGCGCGCTCGTCGCGGAGGGAGTTGTAGTCGCGCTCCAGCGCATCGAAGTCAGATTGGAGCTGGCGGTACTGCAAGTTGACGGTTGTCAACTCCACGCGCAAGTCGCCCACGGTCTGGGTCAACTGCGTATTTTGGGACTGCGCGTTGAGCGCTGCCATCCACGTGTTCGGTTCTGGCGCGGCCGGAGGGGAATAGTCCATCGCGCCCGACTGGTACTGCTGCCTCGGCATCGCCGGGCCCGAGTTTTGATTGGGGGTCGGTCCCCAGCCGGCGGGTGGGGAGTTGCTGTGGCCTGACCTGCTCCCTCCCCCTCTGGACACGCCATACGTGCCATAGGAGTTGTCGGGCGAGTCGCCAGCCCAACCCCGACTTCCTGTCTGGGGCGGGCTCCATCCGGGACCACGCGAGGAGTGGGCCCCTCCATGAGGTGGCGCTCCCCGGTTGTCCCGGGAGTGAAGGGGATGGCCCGGTGGGTATGCGGGCATGTGCGGGGAGATGAGATCTGGAGGGAGTGGAATGGCGAGAGAAGGAGCATGGGATGATGAGTGGCCAGGCGGGGCGCCTGCGCCAACACGCCGGGGCAAACACCACGAGCGCCCCAGCCACTATACAGTTGTTAGTAATACATTCCCACGGTCCATGCCCGGGGAAACGGGGCCAAATCCGACTCGCGTGGCAGGGCGGTGCTGGGCGCTAACCGCGGACCTTGCTGGCCTCAACAGTCATGCCGCCACCTCAACCTGGGGCACCATGTACCCCAGACTCGTCGACGCGCCACAAGCGGCCAACGCCCGCCCTCACTTCGGCCTACCGCGCTGCGGAGGTCGGTTTGCGGGGCAGGGCCCGAGATGTCTCAACTCCCATAAGAGCAAGGTAATCATCCAGCGCCTGGAGCTCCTCGCAGTGAGCGAGAGGCTCCCAGGTGTGGTCGCCTAGCGTCCAGTGGACTAGCAATTCAAGTGACCGGCCCTTCCATTGGTGCCCCACTATCTCATCCACCATCCATTCGCCATCGTCCGGAGCCCCGAAGTCATAGAATTTCCGAGCCTCGCGGCCGGGAAACAGACTATCGTCGTTGGCCTCGTGGGGCCGGAGAAGGGCGCTGTGGAACGTCGGATGGATCCTTCGCTTGACTAGGTCATCCGGGAGGTCCAGGGTATAGCTCGACGTCTCCGGATGCGCGCAAATCACCTTGTAGGGGCCCACGAACTTTGGGGCGAGCTTGCGGGCACGGTTCTTCGGCAAAGACAGGTCCTTGGTCGACAGATACACCAGGTCACCAACGGCGTACGGCCGTGGCTCCTCACTGCGGCGCAAATTCGCGAAGTGTGTACGTTGTACTCGCGACTGGATGATCGCGTCATGAGCCTGCTCCAGGTTCAGGCGGGCCCGCTCCGCGAACACTTGGACGCCAGGGAACTTGGAGGGCGACATCGAGAATTGGGTCATGCGGGGCATGTACCCGTAGTTGAGCTCAAACGGCGCAAAACCTGTGGTCGAACTCGCGCTGGAGTTGATGGTGAATTCCGCCAGCGGGACCTTGTCGATCCAGTTGCGCTGGTCGGCATCGACCATAGCCCGCAGGATTTGGGCGACATTCCAAATAGCCCTCTCCGATGCCCCGTCGGTTTGCGGATGAAATGCTGTCGACATGAGCAGTTTCGTGCCCAGGATTCGGTGAACCTCACGCCAGAAGGCGGAGGTGAACTTCGAGTCCCGGTCAGACACGATAGTCTCAGGCAGACCGTGTAGTCGCACGACGTCCCGTACATAGTACTGCGCCACGGTCACGGCGGTGTCAGTCACCCGGCAGGGGATCAAATGCACCATACTCGTCAGCCGGCAAATCACTACTAGCAAGTAGTTGAAACCTTGGGCGTCAGGGAACGGTCCAACGAAGTCCATGCCGACCGACTGAAACGGGTACAGGGGAATGGGCATGGAATGGAGCAAGCCGGCTGGCGCCGCATTGTTGGTCTTTGTTGTCTGGCATGTACCGCACGAGGTACAGAACCGCTCTATGTCCCGGTGCATCTTGGGCCACCAACACCACCGCCGAACATATTCGGAGGTCTTCTGGGTACCGAAGTGACCTAGCGTTACGTGGGCGTGGTCAATGACGAGCTCCGTCAACGACCGTCGCCCCAACTTGCTGTATGGGACACAGAGGCACTGGAATCCCAGGCGCGTAGTGACATACAGCAAGCCATCGCACAACTTGAATGTCGCGTGAGCCGCGGGATTGGCTAGGACCTTGCTGAAAGTGCGGTCCTCCGCGTACGCTGCCTGGACGGCGTCCAGAAATCCTTCGGTACCTTCCAGGACGCCCGTCAACGCTGGCCCAGTAGCAAGGCTGCATGACATGGGAGACCGCTGTGCCGAAGATGGTGGAAAACACTGTTTTAGCGATATCCTCCACTTCGATACGGATCTGCTCGTACGCATCCAACATGTCAATCTTCGATCTAAACTTCGCTCGCGCGACGTCGATCCGAATGTTGTCTTGGTCGGGGAACGGAGTGACATCCTTATAAGTATTGTCGTTCCGTTGACGGGCGTCGATGACCGTGCGCAGCTTGCCGCTCTTCTTGAGTACACATAGGAGGGGGGCCGCCTGGTTGGCTGGCTTCATCTCCCACCATCCCGCCTCCACGTATCGGTTCCATTTCTCTAGTAGCTCCGGTCTCGCTGCGTCCGGACAACGAGGGTGATGATAGTTGTATCACTTCTCCTCGTCTATGAGCGGGATCCGGTGGTTTATCTCTCGCATAGGGGGTAATTCCAGAGGAATGGGGCCGATGAGGTCGGCACACACCGTGAACCATTTCTCCCGCAAGGCGGGGATAACGTCCGGCGGTTTCAACACCTCCGTCTCAGGCATATCGCGAAGGTAGTTCAACACTTCTTCGTAGATTATGTCGTTCATGCCGTATCGGTCTTCCGCACCAAATTGGTCGCGTAAGACTCCTTGGGAGGAGTGCAAACTCATGGGGTCTCGATCTCCTAGTTCCGGCATCGACGGGTTCCGAGGGTCGGGCCTCCAGCGGTGACGGTACACCCGCGGGGCCTCACTGTCTGGGGGATATACCAAATGAGCGACACGGGCGGGCGGAGTCGGTTCATCTACGTCCGCCGCCATTGCGGGGACAGGTATCTCCTCGTTATCGGAGGATGATGGTTCTCGGTCCTCTGCTGCTGCAGGGCCGGCCGGGTCGCGGGTCGTCGACCCAAGGGAGTGTTCTCCACGTTCATCCCGGTTGAGGGCAGCGTCTTCCTCTTCGTTCACTCCGCCGTCATCTCGCTCACTATTTTTAGTTATTTTTGCAGATAGAATTTCCTCAACCACGTATGGGAGCCCTGACGGCAGTCGTCGATCAGGGGGTACCGCTATCCAACCCAGGTCTACATTGTCCTCCTCCACGACAGTGGTAGGAGGATTAGCTTGGGTCGATCGTCGGTCGGCTAGTCAGCTGTGGGCGGGAGCTCCAGGTTTCCTGGTAGCAGACCGGTTCTGTCGTTGGGTCCGGTACTGCCGGTCCTCATCATAGGAGAACGAGGGGTAGTCCTTCCCGTTCACTCGAATGCAGTGGTTCTGGAAATCCAGTACTGCTCCATGCGCGTTCAAAAACGGCGTCCCAATGATACAGTCGTATCTATCCAGGTTGACGATATCGAAATAGTGGTCCTGTTGGATCCCACAGATCTCTACCGGGACCCTTGCCCCGTAGCTGATTTTGGATCGGCTCCCTGCGCAACCTAACTGGAGCGTGACTTGATCTTCAAGCACAATCCTAGGAGCCTTGGCCACATACGCAAACTCGGGCGACAAAGAGTCTGTAGTGCTGCCTGAATCGAACAGTGCATACGCGTCTATGCCGTTGATTCGGATCAAGGCAGAAAGTGTCGGGCTATCACTACGATTCCGTTGCGGCTGGATGGAATCCGCTGTGTCGTCTTTCCGACGTATGGTGGCGGAGTGTACCATGCGGCCGGCATGGAACCGAATGTCATCCTCGCTATGTACCTGCATCGCGTACGCACATTCCACTTCGGATCCATCAGAATCCTCCCCCTCAGAAGTCACTGGGCTTTCTTCAGAGTCGTATTGGGAGCCACCCCAGTGGTCGCCGCCCTCGTCATCCGTGACAGCAGGATTGCAGTCAAACTCCTTCTCCGAGTCCTCGCCGTCCCCCACCGCCACCCGCTGCGCGTGCAGTCGGGCTTTAGGCCGAGGTGGGCGGATGTCGCGTTTGCCATACTCCGGACAGGAGGGGTCGTTGGCATAGTGGCCTGCCTTACCACAGGCAAAGCAGGTGTTGCTACCGACAGCGGGGCGGGGGCGCATAGGTGGTGGCGCCCGCTGGGTTGTTTCCTCCCGAGTCACCGGGAGCTTGTTCTCCACGAGTGCCGGCCGGGCTGTGCGCCGCTCCTCATCGCGTCGCCCAGAACTGGGTCGACGCTTCTCGTCCCGACGCTCGTCCCGTCTCGCCGACGTGGATGAGGATACCTGCGGGGCGCGGTTGTCCTCGCGGTCACGCGCCTTCAGCATCTTCAGGGACTCCTCAACCTGCCGCGCATGCTGCACTATTGTCTCCAACGGGATGTATTCTGCTCGCATGCCCCGATGGAGGACAACATACTCGTAGATATCAGTAGGGAGACCCTTTACGAAGCGGTGTGCCATATCGTATCGAGTGGGCGGAACGACCATCATGCGGGCACAATCAGCTAGCTCCGCCGCGAAGCCATCCACACCTGCGGATGGCTTGTACCGCGCGTTCTCGTAGTCGCGGGTTGCTTGGGCCGCCGATGAGGCGTGCACGAATCGGCGGTGCATGGCGCACATCGCCTCCTCAAATGAGGGGCGGTAGTCCACCTCCGGGTGATCGACCTCGTGGGTGAACCAGTACTCGGCCTCGCCCGTGAGGAACAGGCGAGTGAGTCGGACTCGCTCCTCGTCGGTCTCCTCCCCACACATGTTGTACGCTCGGAGCCAGCTGAGATAGCTATCTAGCCAGGCATAGAATGTCTTGTGATCGTTCTGACCTTTGTACTTGTCGGGTTCTCCTACTTTGGGCGTCTTCGCTCCGTCCAGCAACTTTGGGCGCAATATCCCTACCTTGTAGTGGATATTGCAACAGATCTGGCGGAGCAGGGCGTCCTGGTGGTGGACAGCTCCCATGGCTACACTCGCCACTACGTCCGGCGAGTTTGTCATGGGTCCTACTTCCGTGATGCCAAACGCCGCTGAGGGGAGGGGCATCCGAGGATTCAACCCGGGGGTCTGCCGATGGACAGCAGCCGAGATGGAACTCCCCGCGGAGTGAGCCGGATCGGTGGGCACTGAGAACATCGGGGGAGCCGCACTGCGGTCCCTATCATGCGCCGATGGTTTGTCCCACAGTTCCGCAAAGCGAACTTGTTCATGGGACGCTGCGCGGTGTTCGCAACTATGGTCGTCGGACACCGCGCGGTCCTCTCGCCGTACGGGACGGTGACGGCAGGGTTGGTCCTCGCGCCCTGTGTGGGCAGCGTAAAACTCCCTAGGATCACTGGTGAGCCGGGATTGCCGGCGCGCCGGGTTCGCGGGTTGTTCCCGGCCGTCATTACTGTCTCAGACCATGCGCGATCGAATGAACCCTCCCTCGGTCTGCCGTTGCAGGTGAGGGGGAGTCTCACGAGGGTCATGTTGGGACACCCGCGCCAGTGACGGTCGCTGTTGGTCCTCGGCTTCTCGCGTACTGGCAGATGAATAAGATCGGACGGAGCCGCCAGGCTGCTCCTCGGGTACCTCCTCCACCGTAGTGCGATAGGGGCGGTGTCGCGCCGGGTCCTCGGCAGGACTAGATACTCCGAGCAGAACGCGGGTGTACGCCAGTTCCTTCTCAATGTCCCGGATAGTGCGGGTGTTATCCTCCAGCACTCGGTTGAACCGGGAGTTCATGGTGTTGACTTCATCAGCATACTCTTGCACCAGGGTGTGGCCCCAGTGGGATAGCGTCTGCAGTCCAGGCCCATTGTCGGCTAGTTCCTGATAACTGGCATTGGCCTGGTCCCGCAGCGCCGCCTGATGGGCCAACAATTCCTGTCTCGATGGATGGGGCCCACTCCTCGACTGAGGGTAGGGTCTCTGAGAGCTCTCGCGAGCTCTGGGTTGGATCACGATGCTCGCAGCCTGGTCATCAGTACCCCGCCGGGATCCGGTCGGGGTGGATGACACGGCCGGTGCAAATCCTGGAGCCTCGCTGTACCTGGCCACCGGCGCTATCAACGGGGGCTCTGGGGAACGGCTACCTGCTCCAGGAACCGATATATGTTCCGGATGGTCTTCAGGCCAGTTGGCTGGACCGTTTTGATGAGGGGTATACCCCACTGGGGATACCCGACTAACCGGGAGATCTCTCCTACTGGCAGATCTTCTCGGCGTGGGAGATGGGGGAGTAGTCCGGTCCTCGATATAGCTAAGAGCTACCAAGGGCGCGCGAAAAATCGCGTCGCCGTGGACTCCTTGGCCGTGCTCCGACCGGGCAGTCTGGAAACTGTCCGGTTCCCTGCGACGGGAGTGTGCCGAACCCGAAGGTACGTAACGACTACCCGGTGCGGGTCCCTGGTCATCCCGAGAGGCCCGTGGGGGCACTGGGCAGTCCGACAATCTCGGAAGCGTGGCCGGCGACAACCGCGGATCTGGTTGAGATGTGGATCGGCCAGAAGCCTCGGAATGACGTACATTGTCTTCTATCGTAGCAGGGTGCACCATAGTCGCCTTTTGCGGTTGGAGCGACACCCTTGAAAGTCAAAAAAAGTGTAAGTATTACGGTTGGCGCCTTTGGCACCCGAGGATAGACTGGGTCAAGCAGTGTGTTTCAGGTGGTAAAAGCGTAAGGTACATTGAGTGCTACGATGTCCATGAGACCTTGGGTCCTGTACAGTACCAAGCCACTGCCCGATACCAAAGTATCAGTGCGCGGCGGGCGCCTACTCGGCGCCTATCTACGACGCGCCTCGCAGGCGTCACAGTCTCGCTATGATGTTTCCCATGCACACGACTCTATCGTACCCAGCTGTCTATTACAAACAGGCCTCCTACCGAATTCCCCCATGTGCGCCTCCTTGTTATGTGCCTGCAGGTCAAATAATGAGCAGCATGATTACTATGCCGAGCTTTGCGTACCTTCCCGTCAAACACAAACCCTCTCTCCCTCCAACACCGTCAAGGCGTCGCCCACGCCATGTAGGTTGAAGACATCGGGTCGTCTGAGTAACACAAGCGGCGCGGATGTGTCAATCTCGATTGGCGCGTACCGCGGGCTCGCATTCCATCGGCATTCTGCCACCGACCAGTAGCACAAGAACGGTGGGCCCTCCAGCCCCGTAACACCCGCTATGAATGCCTCAGTCTCTTCCATGATGAATGGCGCATGCGGTGTCCTGAAGTGGTACGTTTCCGCTCCGCAGTCGTTCTGCCGGCATGTAAGTACGTGCTGCATTCACGGCCTGTTCCGAGGTGTACCTCGTTCCACAACACCACCCACATATACCCTTCCTTTGGCCCAATGATCGACTGGCTCACCGCTTGACGGGGGTACCCAAACCGCTCCTCTGCGCGCTCGGACACGTCCAGCTCCCTTCCAAAACCCACGCACACCAGCCCTCGCACGCGCACGAAGTAGGTGTGCACATCGTGGTCGACATCAATGACTTCCTCGTACCGGCCGAAATCCATCCATTGGACCATCACCCTATCCCACTTCTCCAGTTTTTCGAGTGCCACGATCGACGGAAGGGATGTCAACTCCGACACTCGGAAGTGTGGGCATGATTGCCATTTTAGTACCGCCAATTGACGATGGATGGGAGCCGTTCCCACCTGCAGGCGCATGTCTCAGTTGTTGACTCAGCCAACGAGCAAGGGAGTCGTACCTTGTACCATACAACCACCGTGATGTGCTGGTGATAGTACACGTCGACCTCTTCCTCCGTCCACTCCTTTTCGCCCTCGCTTTTGCTTTTGTCGTTGTCGTCTTCATCCTCTTCGCCCGACGGTCCTGCTCCGCTATCAGATGTCGCGTTAGGAGCAGCTCGTATACAGAGGCAAGCACGTACTTGTTGACTGGAACAACGAATTGCATGGGATCCTTGTCGCGTACCGCCGGATAGGTCTCGTCGTCTTCCGGCATCCCCAACAGGCGCAGGAGCACACGCAGCTGGCGATACTCGACCTTTGCCTCGTCCTCTTTTTTGTTCACCCCCAACTCCTCCTTCACTTCGTGTGCGTGCTTTGGACCAGCGGCAGCATAGCGAAGGTCGCGCAGCGTGCGGAGGGTGTTGAGCGCGTCATTCGCTTTGCCCTCGCGCAGCTTTTGCTCGACGGTGACCGCCTCGGCCATCGCTGGATGTCGTCGGATGATGCTGTGATATTTTGACGGCAGATACCAGCCCATGTTCTCCATTGAGCCGTTCAGCCCGTAGAGGTCCTTGTCGTCCAAGGGGACCATGCCCAACACCATTGGATGCGCCCCCAGTCCACAAGCACGATCGCCGTCCTCGTTGCGCCATACGAGTCGAGAGGCCTGGTTGGGCAGCCGCTTCTTCGCCGCGTTGTGAGCCTGGACGACCTTCGGGGGAACATGCTTTCCGTAGGCTACCATAGCGAGGCGAGCTTGGACGCGGAACCTCTCAACCTTCGTCGTAATCGCGTCCCGCTCGCTTTTCTTCCAGCAATCGACTTTCCCTATCGCCTCGATGAGCTCTGCTCTGTCATGGTTGTCAGCACCGCGTGTACTCCTCCTACATGTCAAGGGGGCGCACCTCTCCTTTTCAAGAGCGATCATACGTCGCATCGTCTCAACCAGACTCCACTCGCCGATGTCCCCCCTTCCGCCTTCTCCTTCGCACCCCTTAAGGCCGGACTCGCCGTCTTGCACGTACATTTTAACGTCTCCTTCGGTCCTGCGTGTGGTGTCGTCCGTTCGCATATCGTCGGTCGCCCCGTGTGTTGTGCAGCTAGTCGTGGTTGAGTGTGAGTGCAAGTGCGCGATTCGATTCAATATCCTCGCGATTACATCGATCAACTTCCGCTGTAGTCCTATACCTGCGCTAGTTATCGTACCATGGAAACATATGTACTACGCGTCCCACACCTGTAACGTACACCCTCTAACAGTACAGACCTTTTCATACGCATGTGTAAAGTACAACCACCCCCCGGGTCGTGAAATACCCCGCCGCGCCGCGCTCAGTTCGATCCCGCCGCGCCCGACGCTCCCATTGGGCGATCGTCGCTGGCTCGTGTTCCCGAAGGCCCCGCCCCGGTACTGCCACTCGCTTGCCCTTGAGCGGGGGTGCAGTTCCCTCCGGATTCGCCCCGCGCCCGCTTCTGCGCGCCTTCACGTTGACCGCTCGCGGGCCTCTTGTGCCAAGTACTATCCCCTTGGCCCTTCAGGTACTTTCGCTGGAGCTCGATGATGTGGATGTTTACTCGCGCTATACGAAGCACGGTCATATCCTCGACCCCGCGCGCGCGCTCTGTGATATTCCATGAGCTCCATCCGGGGCCCTTCCATCAAGTTGACCAACGCGCGCGAAGACGCTTCGGCCGCGCTGCACAGATAAGGCAGGTGCCCCGCCTGCTGCCACAGTTCCTGCTTGAGGTACGCGAGGCGGATCTTCTTGCCCACCTCCAAAGTTGGCATGATCATGGGATTACCGCAGCATTGTACTGCCTCGGTGTTGGTGTCAGTGCCGCTTTTGTAAGGGTCTTCGTCCTCCTCGCCTCCCCCACCGTTGGGGGAATGGTCGGAGGTGGGTGCATTGCCGTGGTTGCCGTTAGCAGGCTCGTGCACGGGGCGTGGCTCGGCGGGCGCATTGCCGTGGTTGCCGTGGGACGGCTCGTGCACGGGGCGTGGCTTGGCGGGCGCATTGCTGTGGTCGCCGTGGGACAGCTCGTGCACAGGGCTCATGGAGGTGGGCATATGGCCGTGGTCGCTGTTAGCAGGCTCGTGCTCGGGGCACGGCTCCGCAGGCGCATTACCATCGCCATCCTCCTCTTGCTCGGGCCCGCGACGCGGGGAGGAGGCATCCTCACCGGCTTGGTCAGCATACCTAGCGGAGGCGCCCTCGTTGGCGTGTGCAGCGGGGGACGGGGCCCGCATAGAGCTATCGTTGTTGTCGCCGCCTTCTCCATCTGAAGGGTTCCCACTACTTTCCCCGAGGTCTTCTTTGTCGCTTCCTGGGTCCTGTTGCCCGCCACCTGAAGTGACCCGCCTGCAGCGCGCTTCTTTCCTGCGCTCCTCTTTGAGGGCTGTCTTCATCATCTTTACCCACCATGCATACGGAGTACCGCCGACGACTTTCCCATTCTTCAGCTTGTACTTCGAGATCGCTGTGTACGGTGTGAGCACGCGGTACTCATTGCACCCTCTAGCTACTTACCAACATGCCATGTGCAAGGAACACTAGAGCCACCGCTCCGTACCTTGACGCAGTGGTTGCACTTGTACGTGCGGCTTTTGGCAGGGGCGCATTGAAGGGCTAGCCCTGCCGCCACGCATGGCGCGCAGGCAACTCTCGAGTATTTCTGCCACTCCCCGTACATTTCTGCAAAATCTTCGACGGCGACGGCGGCCATGATGGAGAGAGAGTCGCTGGGGCATGGTCGAGTTGACGAGGATGACAGTGAGCAGTGGAGGCAATTTTCCGTGGTTGTGTGCTGCAGTAAGTGAACCTCCGCGCGCAGACTACCTTTCTTGGCACCCTTCGCGCGCACAACGCCCGCACCCGCCCTACCCAATAGGAATGCGCACCGCCAGCGCTTTGTATACTGGGTCTATGCCCGACATGCCCGAGTGGCCACTATTTGCGCGCGGGGATCAGCTAGCAAGGAACACGAGAGTTACGGTTTGTACAAAGTACAACTGCAGATAATACTCTCATTTGGTGGTCTCCAGATCCGCGCGCACCTCCTTCGGGATTCCAAGGGCCTGTCTGTCGCGAACAATTAGGGCGCGTTGTGATAAAAAAAATCCAACTCACAATATCTATGTCCGCTAGAAACGCTTCTCTCGCCTTCTCGAGCAACATTGTATATCTGTACGCTTGCCTGTATATCGTCAGCGCTCCGATACTAAATTATCACGTAGGTCATGTACTTGCACGCGTATGCCGCGCGCGCGAGCCAACCGTTCGACGTCTCCGAGCGAGCGCGACCCTGCCATACTTCGCGCTTGTACTGGAACATGGCTTTCGTCCGGTACATCTCCTCGCACTTGAGGTGTACTTCTTCGGCCCACCGGGCGTACTTCGCACGGGAGCAAAACCAGTGTGGCTTGGTCTCTACACTGTCGAGTCAGGAGCAGTCCCTCCACAAATGCCCACACGTACTTTGCAACAAGAACTCCGTCACCTCTTCGTTATCTTGCAGGTGGATGAAAGAGAAATCACGCCACAGCCAGCTTTCCTGCACCGTCCCGTCGCCCAAGTTGTACTGCTCCTCGACCACTACGAAGTGCGTCACATCCTCCTCACGTAGCGGCTGATAGATCTCATCGTCCTCCGACATCCCCAACATGCGAAGGAGCACGCGCACTCGGCGATACTCATACTTTGCTGAGTCCCTGATCTTCTGCTCCCCTCGGGCCAACGCCCTCACTTCTTTGCCATGCTTCAGGCCAGGCGCAGAATGGCGTAGGTCCCGCAGGCTGTATTGTGCGGCAATGTGAGTGCGGAGGTTGTTGAGCGCGTCGTTCGCTTGGCCCTCGCGCAGCTTGCGCTCGATAGCGACCGCCGTGGCCATCGCCGGGTGCCGTTGGATGATGCTATGATAACTTGATGGCAGGAAGATGGAGACGTCCTCTACTTGCCGGATGAGCACGTCGAGGTATTGGTCGTCCAGTGGGTCCACGTCCAGCACTTTCGGTGACCTCGGCAGTTCACACGTGCGGTTGTCGTCCTTGTTGCGCCATACAGTCATCACCCGCCCGTTGTCACACCAAAAAGTATTCGGCCGTTCCTGCTCTTCCACTCAATATTCTGGCACAGAAATTAGTACTGCATTGTAGCCCAGCATTCCAGTGTTCGTAATATAAGGCTCTCTATGTATGGCATAGGCATAGTGCCGAGCTATATCAAGAACATTGCGACGGGTCTGATTTGGGCGCTAACGACCCAAAGTCACAATCTGCGAAATTTCTGCTCCTTACTTTGCAGACTCCTCCGCATATACGCTCAAACTATCTAGATGTAATCAATAAAATGTATTATAGCTCTCCGTGAAATTTGGAGTGTGTCCCAGGATTGTGTCAGGAGATATCAGTGCAATAAGTGGTACGGGCTGTGACTAGCTGTGACGGTGTTTTCACCTCCTCGCAGCAACAAATGTACTCGTAGCCCACGCAATAGTGCTCCTGATAATTCCAAAATTTACATTGAGTCTCCCCACATACTATGTGATATGCTAAGGGAGTTCGAATATCATAAAATGGATCAGATGAGCAGCATTAGACCTGCAAATGTTTCAAAGTGCACGGCACTAGCTAAATTCAAATGTTACATGGGCCATATATTCACTCGCTCACAATTTTGGCTCCTCTATTGTACATCTTCGTATGCAGGTACATTGTACGCATACTTTACAAAAGGTTTCAAGGCAAACGGGGCAGAACTCCATGAGGGAGAGAAGAATTGTTACTTTAGGCGATAGTGTGACATCAGCCGGGTGATGACTGTAGGAGTTGAGAGGCCTGGTCGGGCAGCCGCTTCTTCGCCGTGTTGTGAGCCTTGACGACCTTCGAGGTAACGTGGCGCTCATACTCTTCTCGGGCAAGGCCAGCTTCCTTATATATCTTCTCCACTTTTGTTGTGATCGCGCCCCGCTGCCGTTTCTTGGATCGATCGACCCTCCCTATCGCTGCGATGAGGTCTGTTCTGTGATGGTTGTCAGCACTGCGACAGCTGTCTTTACGTGGTTGTCAGGCTCACTTCTCCGTTTCGAGATCGATCATGCGCTGGATGGTTCCAACCATTTCGAATCTGTCGATGTCTCCGTGCACACTGTGCTCTGAGCGCAAGAAGCTCACGGTCGCTTCCGCAGATAGGGCTTCAATTCCAAGTTAGCGTTGTTTGCTGAAGATACACAAATACGCACCTTTCGGTCCGCTCGCGACGTAGGGATTCGCCATGTCTTTGTGGTTCTTGATGTCCACGACCTGCCGGAGCCAGTCTGCCTCCTCCTCCTTCCACTGGGCTATCACATCCAGAGGAATCTTCCTCTCCACAAACCGCAGATAGTGTCCGCTCTCTCGCCGCCACTTCTCGGCTTTGGCATGATCCTTGCTCAGAGTTTGCGCTGTTGACGGACTTTAGTTCCATTTCGTTCGCCTTGATTGTCATATGTACGCATTTTGTGCAATTGTCTCACGTTGAGATCCGAGCTGATGCTGTTGAGAGAGTCGTGGCGATGGCCCAGTGTCATCTCTTGTGTCGCCTTTGCAGACGGGTTCAGCAAGTCCCATTCGCGTTCAGATCCTTCGCTGTCGACGCGGCCGTTGCCGGGAAGGTAGTTTGGCAACTGGAACGTACAGCATGCCACAATGTGTCCGTTCACGTGGAATTTCCCCACAGATCCCTGAACCTCTGGCAGTTTGGCGGTGGTCAGACTCGGCAGTAGTGGTACCAAGGGCTCCATCTTGCGCAGCCTTCGGAGGAAGTGCGCCATGTATTGACAGGCGATGTCGTACGCGAGCTTGATCAGCCGAAGAGACGCGAAGCTTTGCGACCCAGATACGACGGCAAAGTCCACGTAAGATTGGCTGATGGGGGCTTGCCTCAGCGCTGGGCAGTCACAACGAGCACGAGACGTACCTCTCGGCCCCTTTCAGGTCGATGATGCCTGCCGGTATCAACATCATGTGGCGACACAGTAGCGCCGCAATTCCGGTGACCAATCCCCGGTGACCGCCATACCCCATCACGACGAACTTGTGGCATGTGGATTCCTTGCACGTAGCGTGAATACCGTTCGGACCGCGGTAATCACTTCACTCACCTCCTGTTCCTCTGGCCCTATCTTCTTTTGGTATCTCTCGAAGTCGGCCTGATCGACAAAGTACGCCGCGCCCTCAGTCAAGGCGACATCATTTACGTCCATCGGCTTCGCGCATTGTTTGGAATGGAAATTGCCGTCGACGCTGTAGAACACGGCGTCCAGGTATCTGCGCCTAGCATCAGCCACATCATGGTGTTCCAACAGTCGACGTACCTCAGGTCGTGGCGCCTCCGTTCCCAGCCCGGTCGCATATTTTTGGTGGCATGTGGGCACGCTGGACACCACACCACCAACGTTCGTGGGGGTAGTTTCGGGAGAGGGTCCACCGCGCTGCGTTTGCACACCAACAGAAAGTCGAACTCGCGCTTCGAGACCATCATCTCCCGGTAGCGATCCTGTTCGGGTCGTCAGCTGTACCCACATATACGACTCCTCGTCCACTCACTCGGCCAGAACGCGAGCTGGAGCGTGATGGTGCCGAGGCGCTCGAGCTTCTCCTTGTCGCTGTCCCAGTACGCGAAGTCGCCGTCGGGCGGCACGTAGTTGAGCTTCAGGCGCGAGTAGTCGCCGTCCTTGACGCGCCAGAGCGCAACCTCGGAGGGCCCTCCGCGCGGTCGACGAGGTCGCGCAGCCAGAGCACTGCAAGCGCCTTCCGCCCCGAATTCTTGAACCCCGACTTGTCGCGGAAGGAGACGAGCAGCGCCGTGGCGTAGCGCTGCCGCACGGGCAGCTTCGTTGCACCGTCGTTTGCCCAAACGACCTAGTCACCGCGACGTTCGGCTGCTTTGCGCGCGACCTTTTTCACGGCTTCCGTGGTGCACGTCTTCATGCGGATTTCCATCAGTACTTTTGTATATGTCTGAACGGTCTGAATCAGACCTCTCAGATGGCTTCAGACAGCTCCAGACACCGTTCAGACCTTTCAGACCACCAGACGCCAGATCGGACTTTTGGACACTTCAGATGTTTGAGTGACTTTCTACTCAGATACTTTCAGACCCATCAGACATGTAGATTCACTACGGTAGCATCATTACAATTATGCTTACCTCGAGTTCGTAATGAGTTCAATAAACAGCTGTATCACTCAAAGATAACATGAAGGTGCAATATTCAAAAATGTGCCTCATCGAGACTCGAACCAGGGCTACTGCGAGCGCTACAGCGGCAATAACCACTGCACCACTACTGCTTGCTTGGCCTACAATGTGGCAGTCCTATATCAGACTGTGACCCCTCTATACCTAAGCTCGGGATATATAGCATGCTTCATTATAGGTCTGTCTGCTATAAGCTGAGATGTAGTAGGTCTATTTGTTCGCATGTATCAGAGAAGACATTGATAAGGTGAGTGTTTCCACTAGTAAGCTCTAGAAGCACACCTGAAACATCAGTATATAACCTATAAATGTTCACACCTTTGTATCTGCTGTTGGTCAAGTGGTTAACTCCTTGATCGTACGTCCGATGGCCGTGTGTTCGGTTCCCCATAATTGAGTTTTTACATTTATTATGAGTCTTTGGCGTCGAGTGCTCGAGCTTCGATGGGACACTCGCATCGACGGGTCTGACGGTCTGACGGCTACCCTGCCAGACCTGCCAGACCGTCAGACATATGCAAAAGTACTGATGTCGCACTTGGCCAGGTCGATCAGTTCGACCGCATGAGGACGTCGCGGATCTCAAGCGTGCCTGTATCGAAGCCATGTAGATTCGGCGGTAGCTTTGCCTCGACAGGGCGGAGGAGAAGTGAGATGCGGATGCGGCCGGCGCCGAGGCCCTTCTCGAGAGAGTAGCTCCGGATGACTTCGGAGGCGTTCACGAAAACCTCGGACAGCTGAGCAAACAAAATGAGCGTCAAATCATGCGTCGAGCAGGAACAGGAACCGACCTTCAGAGGACCGTTCTCGCGCAGACGAGGGTCTTTGAGTCACGGTGATGTGCGCCTTTTGCCAGTCCCAAACGAAGCGCTCCGTGCCCGCGTTGAACATCGGCGAGCTGGATTGGCTTCACGCGCGTCTCGTACACCAGTTTGTCGTTCAAGGAGCTGTAAACATCCAATGTTCAGCGGCCCTTCAGTACAAATAGGAAGACCGTAGCCACGCACATCGTGCAATACGAAGACGGCAGTCCCTCGCCCTCCTCTGCCGTCTCCTCGCCGTCATCTTGGCCCTCGCCCTCGCGGTGCCCGCCCTTGTGCTCCTTGCCCGCCGTCTTCACTGTCAGGTCGAGGATTTTGTGCACCTACACGCTCACCAGCCCGCTCGCCCACTCCGGATCTGGTGGCGTTACAAGCACGGCTGCCTCAAGGTCATTTAGGGCAACGGCACGCACATCCTTGAACTCTGGGCGCTCGCGCAGGTCGTCTGGCAGACTCGGGTCCGAGCCGTCCGTTGTCAGGCCCTTGTTTGGCGGGAGCTTGCCGTAGTACCCGACGGTGTACTCGAGCGAGCCTGGTCGGTCCTGCGAGTCGGGGCTGGTCAGTGGGGAGACGTGCCGTGTGGGCTTGCCGCGTTCGCGTAGGAGGTCAACGGTGTCGATCTCGACGTAGCCCATCATATCGTCCTAGAAGGCACATGAGCGTGGGGGCAAGTCGGAGTGGTGAACTATACACACGACGCTCATGCGGTCAGAGTCTCACAGCTGGAAGATCAGCTTCTCGCGCAGTTTCACGGTATTCACATCGACGAGCAGGATCGCGGTCTCCTCGTAGACCGGATTGCAGTCGTCCTTGATAATGAGCGTCGAGTAAAGCGACTTCTCGAGCCGCGAGTACGTGAGCGTCACGTACGAATCTGCTGAACATGGGCATGGGCATGGTCAGAGTGTGTGCGTGTGTTGGAACTGTGGGAAACGCACCGGAGCTGTCCGTCGTGTCCATCTTCTTGATGCCAGTCGCTCTGTGGATGTGCACGACGAGGATATCGATAGCCTCCGTGTCTATGTCTCGAGTTAACACCATATGAGACTGCGGGTGGCGGCGACTGACCTTTTTTAATATCGTCTCCACTTATGAGCGTCTGGAGGTCCAACGTTAGGCTTTTCGGGGCGACGTACTCCGTCGCCGCGGTGTCGAGAGCGTTGGAGATGAACCCAGAGATGAACGGCAGGTTCATGACTTTCGGTAGCGTTTTGGCTCAGAGGCGTGGCTAAGATAGTGATCCGGGGAAAACCCATGAGAGAAACCAGAGTCGTCTTAACACTGGACACCCGCGTCAGTATGGATAGCGCATATGCTCGCATGACTGTGGAACTCACCATGGCCGATCCGGGATGAGCTGGAGGCTTGCGCGAGCAGTGCCGACAACGTCCGTGACCTCCACCCATACGGCTGGAGCGCATACAGTCAGCGTCATGGATAGCACTGCGTTTATCACCGTGCTACTAACGCACACGGAAGCCGAACACGCCCTTCATCCCGAGAAAGCATTCGATGAGCAAGCTAAGCGGAAGGAATAAACATCACTTGTGCGAGCAGACATCATGCTATATACTGAATGTTACGCGCTTTGCATTCGGCAGACTTTCCACTCGGAAGCCCTTGGTACGCAAACGACACCTCCAGGTTGACGTGGTCGCCGTCGAAAGCATCGCGGTCGTCCGGGCTGACCATGTCACCGTCGATGCCCATCGCAGAGAGCGTATCTTGCGCATCTCCGGGGTTGCCGGTGTCATGAGTCTTCGCATCAGGGATTGACTGAATGGACGTCACGCAGCCCGCATTCGAGCCCAAGCCCAAGCCCATGTCCGCGACGCGCACGGAGTGCTGCAATTACTTGATGAGCGGAAAGGGATAAGACACTCCGGTCGGGCGAGCTTACAATGAACTTCGGGACGGACGACTGCATGATGTCTTCGAGCATGTCGATCAGGGAGCTGAACAGGTCGGCGTTCAGAATCGGCCAGAGCCCACGGACAAGCGCGTTTGCCCATTCCGTGCTCTCACGCGTGCGCTCCTCGTCGGTCACCTTGCCGTCACCGTCTACATCTGACACGGCGGCCAAACCGCGCATTCGTTTCGCGTGCCACATTCGCTGCTCGAAGTCCGCCTCAGAAGCCTTATTCATGCGGAAGAAGAGGGAGTAACTTACGTATGCGGGCGGAATTAAGCACAGCACCCGGGCGATGACGCCAGAGAATGGCGTCAAGAAGAGGAAGGTGCAGATAAATATAAATGCAGTAGCAAAGTACGCGATGCTGGAGTTGGTAATAAAATCATGTTGTCACGGTGTTCCTTCCAGTCTATGAGCGTGAATCAGTCATCGGCCGTCCAAAATGAACGCTGCGCACAACAGGACTCGTCGTACCACTAGCATTGCGATGGAATACTATTCAAGGAGATTGAGGAGGCGTGACCCGAACGTCGCATACGCCCGCAGGCTCAAATTTTCTGAGCTCAGTATGCTAGAACAGAACGTCTGCGGGGGCTGGGTCCTAAGACTGCTCACGGCTTGCTTGTAGTACGAAGGCGCAAGTCCGGGAACAGCCTCAAAAATGGCTCCCGTACCCATCATAATCCATCACCTCAAAGGCCGGAGGAATCTTGTATATGCGCACAGGGGTAGGCATATACGCCAGATACATGGTAGTGTCCAATGCGCCCTTCCGTCGCACAAACGCGGTATAGGGTAGATATGCCAAAGAACTATGTTCTCGTCCACCAAATTGCCAATACGTGCATCCGGCCTTCATGGAACAGTGTATACCAGGTCTGTAAGCGGACACCGCGATCACGATGTGCTGTGTCGCACTCGTCAAGAACGAAGACTGGAGGCTCTGCCCCGCAGAGCAGCGGCTCCGCGCATGTCTACCAACGTACTTCGGGCTATTGTCTCCGTGAGAATCACTCCGTTGTTTTGGTCGTTATTCTTCATGGAGACTACTCCGGTGTACGGGTAAACGCCCCTCGAAAAAGAAAGACACGCATAGTTGCCGTGGGACGACGCAAGGGCGCACGAAGCTCGTTTCCGAAGCAGAAAGGACACTCACTAGGAGGGAACTCATGATGCAGAACGTTCTCTCCCTTGGAGTGCACGTCCGGATCCTCGTCCGCGTTGCGAATGGCGAGCTCCTCTCCGGTCGTCGGATCCGTTTCGTGCATGCCATGATCCTTCGCCAGCCTTCGCGCAATCTTCTCGGTCTGCTTCTCCTCGTGGCGGACGCTCTGGTCCTAGAGTTGCTGCGCCTTTGCCTCCCCGGCCTTTTGTGGGTTGATGAGCGAGGTGAGCGAGGTGGTGATGTTTGGTACCGGGTTCTTCCCCGCGTACGGTTCTGAGAGTTTGTGTGCTGGCAGGAGTTATGTGGGCAGGGTGGGGTGAGGACGCGGGATATATACTGAGTTTAACGGCGCGTTCACCATAGTACTTGTCATCGTGGAGTGCCGCTGATCAGACGAATTTGGAGTCATGGAGACACACAAGCTCGCATTCCCAATTGGTGTGTGGCAAAAGACATGTGTAATTCTGCGCCGGCATTGCGTTCTTGAACGGCGTAAACAAGCAAGAAACGAGGACGCAGAAAATCGAGTGCTAAGTAGTGGGATGTGGCAAGTCGGAATAGACGACCATGACGCCCACAACGGTAGCGATCAGTTGCTTGCGTAATACTGTCTCACGACTACATCCCGAGGCTGTTCGGAACAGGCGTCGACTATTCATGGTTCCTCCCTCCTCGTCTCTCGTCTTCTGCCTGCTCATTTCCCTGGTCATGCACTCAGAAGAAAGGCGACAATCATACTCATTGTACGACATATCTCTCTAACTCCATCACATTCAAGACGCGCTCGCGCAGCGATTCCTCAAAACCGGTTACGACGACATGTGGCCATCCGGATCGCGCACAGGTAGATGCGCGGCCATACACGGTCCCGCGTTCCCCAGCTCGGAGTTTCTGGTATGTTCTCAGACGGACATACAGCAGTTCAGCATGAGAAAATCTTTGGGCGTTGCGTGTAAGCGCACCGCAGACAGCGGAGCACGAGCAGGCCATCCGGGATCTCGCTTCGAGCTGCTCGAAGGAGATTTGTGACTCGTGCTTGAGGCATTCATATCTCAGGGTAAGATCGCAGTTCTTCCCGAGCTTAGAGCCATGGTGGCTGCCAACATTCTGTCCAAGTGCGACCTTCATCCTGACGTAGAAGAGAACACGTGGGAGTATAGCGACGAAGGCGACCGCGAGGACGACGATAGTGAGGCACATTGAAGCTGGGTCATGGTGGATGTGTTCTTACTGCAGAGGTCTAGCCTCTTCTCAAGAGGTTGGAGCCCGTTGTGTTGGTGTGCGCTCGCTCAAGGGTATAGCCCGTTGGGCATGTCCCATGCCTTGAGATGACACTGGCGGCTCCGCAAGATGAACGCTGATCTGCGCTGGATTTGTTTAACGTACGCGGACTAGGATGCAACCGCTTCGCTCTATTCTTACATCACATCTGGAGCTTGGAGCTTGCTGTACTGCACTTTCGTGACCGGCGACATCTGGTGTCTTCATGTCGTTCCTGCCCAAAAACTCATCATTCCCCACACGCCCCGACTGCTGGGAACGGTGCCTGCCATTTGCGTGTATTCCAGCCCCTACGGCCAAGTCCGGGCGCAGTGGCCACATAGTTCTTGACTGCGAACACTTTCATGACTTACCAGGTCATCTAGAGCAGCAAACGGGGAGATTTACCGAAGAACGCTGAGCCTCGGGCGCAATATACAACAATACACTCATTCCCGCATCCGTTCATTGGGCATTGCTATCAATACCACCATCGACGGTTCTACGTTCGCTGGTGTCCGAGAAGCCGCAAGGACAGACGAGAACAGGAGGGCACGGTAACCGTCCCGCGCCTTGACCTGTCAGGTACGAGTTCTGGTTCCCCTGCCGTTCCATGCTTGCGTCGCTGTGGCTGACGTTCACATCTACATCCAAGAAAGAGACGTGTCCCCGGTGTGCCCAAGTTCTGCCCCCATGATCTGCGTCTATCTAGTTATACTTGTGCTCCGGGAGCATCTCGTCGCACTTCTAAAAGCTCGCTAAGTAGCAGCCTTCGCACTTGGAACCCGACGACAGAAAGGGACAGGCATGTGCGATGAACTGCTCCAAGGGGCAGCTACTACGACTTTGTAGTGCTATTCTTAGGCATGTCGCACAACTCCTCCCATCAGGTGCGGAAGCACGTTGTCGAACTCGGCCGAGTGCTTCGCACCATCACCGACCAACTGCTCTTCGAGGGAAACGGGTAGGAGATGCTTTGCGAGGTTGTCGCGATTCGATTGACATCTGCGCTCATCTAATTTGCGCATTCTCTCTCCTATGCATGCTATCTACGATTCAAATGTGTGGGTCAGCTTTCCGTCGGCGGTCTGCTGGCGCCTTAGTTCCTGATGGTGTAGCCCAAGCATGCCCTCTACGACTGGAGCTTCTAGCCCCGCCACTCGGAAATTTACCCATGGATCGTCTGCCGACGAGCCCGGAACCATGTCCCCACTGTGGGAAGGATCCACATTTTTAGAGGTGTTGGGCACAGGCGCGGAAGAACGACCGAAAGAGGTGTTCTGGACATTTTCGAGCGGTGTCGAGAATCACTGTGCAGAACACCTCATGTGTGCATGTTTAGGTGTTTTGCACGCCTGCTCCCGACGTGTACAACAGCTTCTATAACTATTTTTATAGGTGTTTCGGACACTATCGGACGAGGTGTTCTGAACGGTGGTCCGAGCTGTTCCCAACCGAAGAAATCATTGCAAACTACAGTGCGTTGACATGTTCCAAACACTCGTAGAAAGTGTTATGCACGCCGATTGATCACGCCCGAATATATTTGCAAATATGATTTATTGCGCTACATATGTATACATGCTGGCACATGCGTGCATACGAGTGAGCAAGCGGGCGACGGACTGGCACGAGTGCGACCGTGAGCACCGCGACCGCACGCCGGCCGCGTACAAGTAAGCGCGACCAACGTGGTTTGCGCGCGCGACACAAGCACAACGCAAACAACTGGATGCGACGTACTTTAATGGCTCGCTCAGCCGCTTGTCCTAGACTTCCTCGTCGTAGTTCCTGGTCACTGGTAGACGATACCGCCATACGGGCTCTAGCCGGGCCGAATCAGCTCGTGCTACACAGTCGACGCGAAGAAAGGCGGGGACGAGTCGGTGGAGCTTCAGTTGCGCGAAGTGGGGTGAAAGCAGGTCGAGGCGCAGGGGCATGAGCACAGGGAGAAGACGGTAGATGTGCGAGAGAAGCGTAGCGAGAAGGCAAAGCGCAGGGGTAGGACCAGAGGAGCACGAGCCAGGCAGAGCGCGAGGAGCGTCGATAAAACCGCGGCTTCGAGAGGTGGTAGTAGGATAGCAGCCGGCATATTCCAAGAAGAGGGCTTTGCTATGGTGTGGCAGCGAGAGAGGCCTAGATACTAAGATGACGCAGTCAGTGGAATGAGGGAGAGCGTAAAGACGAAGGCGCGCCTAAGAGACCACAAAATCAGAGCGGCGGTGTATATGTTACCTGGAACAGGTCACTATTCGGGATAAAGATATGGTAAAGGTGTTGGAAACGCACCGCGGGTTTTTTTTCCCCAAAGTTTGACTCCAATAAAGGGTCGATTTTTAGACTGGGCAGAGGAGAGAAAGTGTACGAGAAGAGTTATGCAGGTAGAAAGGGCAACAGGCTCATACGTGTGGGGGTGGTTCGTGTCGCCTTCTTCGCTGTTTCTCTCGCGCTCGGTTTCCGTCTTCTGTCTGTGACCCTTAGAGGACAACGGGAGAAGACGATGATCAGGAAGAGAACGAGGGAGCGTCGACAACCGACGAAAAGCACAGTGTGCTTGGTGGGATCGTCGTGGTTCGAGGTCAAGATGCAAGACGACGGGGAGGGAGGGACTTGGGCCGTTTTCAAGGCGCCAGTGACGTCATCGCGACTAGCTTCCTAATTGGGAGGCGCAATAGACGCCCAGCATTTGTCTCCTGCGCCATACGCGTAGCGTCGTACTATACATCTCTTCCTCGCCCTTCGCGAGCCTGCCTCTCTTTGTGTCCCCTTTAAACGTCTTCTTATCTTCCATAATATTCTGTTTTTCTTGGTGACGACATGTGATCCACGCATGCCCTCGCACCTTGAAGCCGACCGAGCGCAATACATACGGCGATAAGCTGAGTATGCCACTTTGCTCGTGTACGGTACATTGCGGCGAGAGCAAGACGACAGCGCGGAAGATGAGGTACAATCGATAATCTATACCCGAACGCCGGAAAAGAGGACACTTTTTGGTAAGCCAGTCATTTCGATCGCCTATCCGTCCACTCGAACCCGAGGGCGCCCTCAAGCGGTTTGACGTCCACCGGTGTTGGTACACGGTTCAAGCTCAAGCACATGTATCGAGGGCGGCGTAACACAGCTTGCTAGAGAACAAATGCACTCGCTCTCGGTTGTACGACGCTTCTGACCGTACGCCGGGACGAGCAACACCCTGTTGGCTGAGTACCAACCTCGTCTCGAAGATGCTTAAGGGCGATGTGCGGGTCTAGGAGGACCTTCATTCGACGCTCCGTGGCTCTGGCTAGTCAGAGAGCACAATTTTCGTGAGGAGGATCACGTCGACGCGCAGACACCGAGCAGCGGTTCAACGTTGAGCTCCTGGTCCCTGTCCCCGCGTTGCTTGAGGGTTTGAATATGCACACGGAGGCGTACGACAGCAGGCGCATCACGAAGGCACCGGAACTCGTTTTGCGTGGCAGATGCGTGGGGTGTATGCATAGAACATGGCGAGGGAGCAGTAATAGAGAATGCACGCATGGACTGAACACTGACGGCGACGAGATATCGGCTTAAAGTGACCGTCTTGTTCGAGTGTACCATAATCGCGCATGGGAAGTGAGAGCAGCTGTTTGGAACAGCTTTTTGTGCCGGAGCTGTGGAGAACACCGTTTAAAATTGTGTATATTATAGGTGTGCAGAACAGCTGCTCGGACAGACGGTAAATAGAGGTGTTCTAAACACCGACTTATATTATACAATTATTAGAGGTGTGCACCTTTTAGGTGTTCCGAACACCTATTCTGGAGGCAGAGGTGTTCTAAACACCTCATACAGGCGTCAATCCTTCCCACAGTGTCCCGCGGTACTGTACGTATGCTCCGCACCATGCGCTCGCTGGCATTGACTTGCGCTTCTTTCTCAGGACAGCTCGCGTCTCCATGACCGCAGACAGTGGAACCCATGAGCCTCGAAGACGCGGGGAGCACGTATGTCCGTCTGTCCGATGAGCACCCACCCCGCATACTTCATGCTTCGCGGTATAAGATCCCCGCCCGTTCATTGGTCATCCCTCGGAGCTCCCGCTCAGACATCCTCTCTCCTCAATCACTTTCCCCCCTTCAACAGCAGACATGTCCCGCGGCTTTTCCAGCTGCTTCTCCCTGCTCCTGCTCGCACTGAGCGTCGCCGTGACAGCGGGTGCGACGCCCGTCGTCCAGGCCCGCGGCAACCTCCTGTGACTCCCGTTCGCGAAGCGGGTGAACTTCACCGGCTCGAGCAAGCTCATCGAGCGTGACCAGGCGCGCGTGCGCAACCTCCGTGCGCGTGCGAACGCAAAGCTCAACGGACTTACCCTCACCGACGATGCGGTTGTCAGCGTCCCTGTGGACAATCGAGTCGTGGACTACGTCGCCGACGTAAGCCCTGATGAGGACTATGAGCTCGTAATTCTTGGCTTACTATTTGTTCAATGTTGCCTAGGTCGCGGTCGGCACACCCTCTACCACGTGTATGTGCTTCGTTCGGCGAGAGCGGACGAGAATACTAACAAACCCGTCTTATATGCGCCGCAGACTCGCTCCTCATCGACACCGGCAGATCTAACACCTGGGTCGGCGCTGGCAAATCGTTCGTGCAGACTTCTTCATCCCGTCAAACCGCCGACCGCGTGGTGCGTGTCAGCTCCGACCGCCGCGCGCGTAGCGGTGGACTAGCGGTGGTGGCATGCGCGGCGCCCGGCGACGCACTTGCGCGCGTAGGCATAGTAAGGAATCCGGATGGGGGCGCGCCGCCCTGGGATAGAGCGGCGAGAGCTTAAAGAACCTCAAGAGCGGTCGCAGCGGCCTGCGCGACGTTCGGCGAGGTGGCCGCGGGCGTAGACACAAAGGGCGGAAGGGCGGCACCAGGTTGCAACCCACCAGTGAGAGCATCGAGACCCCTCCCGAGCAGCTGCCGCTAGCTTCGCAAGGTTCGCTGAGTTGGTCGCGCGCGTGGGCGTGGCGGATGGAGTGCCGTTTGGTGATGTCTTGTCGAGAAGGGCCTCGGTCATGGTCCTGTTTGCGGCAATCACCGGCTCAGGAACGGTCTCGGTCGAGAGAAGGTGGATAGCCTTTCTATTCACCGGTGGTACAAACACGCCAGCTTCGAAGTCGGGGGGAGGATAATTCCGTTTGGAAATTCGAGGTACGCACAATAACCTGGACACTGATAGAAGTTAGTACTTCGGTTCCGATCGGCCATGCGATAGACTTAGGCGAAGCTCCCGATATCGCCACCTTCCTCCGGAGACGGCCCAGCCCCCATGACTGTGAAGGACCATCCACAGAGCGTAGCTACGAGGAGCCATCTGCGGGTTCAACGTTCAAATGTGAGTAAGGTACATATTTCTGTGTGAGACAACTCACATCTCTAGGGCGGCGCGGAGGGAGGGCAGACGGACAGTGCGAAAACGAACCCACAATTTGACGCGAGTTAGGCGCATGAGGCAAACACGTGTTCACCAGGAAGGGAGATGCTACCCCCTTCATATATCCTGGACCATATTGTTCGACCACGCACAGGAAACTACCGACGACCGTGAAGCCCTCTTCTGTCCAATATAAATAAACCCTCACCTACGCCCCCTTTCCTGCACCTCTCACACTATTCCCCCTGGAGTGCCCCCCTTCTCACCTTCCTGGTCCCCTATGGCACACAACCCCTTCGGCGGAGAGGAGCGTTGGGTCGTGCATAATGCCATGACCCCGCGTTATACCCTGGCCGAAGTGATGGACATGCTCGTGCGCCTGGCCGAGGAAGAGCGTAAGTGACAGTCATTTCAGTTGTGCTACCATACTAACCACATATCCTCAGGTCGCCGCCCTACGAGCAGCGGTCCGTCGCACCCAATTGATCCGAATGGCCAGCGGGGAGAGTCCCATGGTAAGTACAGGCCCTATGTTGTATTGCGGCTGATGTTTATTGTTTAAGGTTCGAGCGGGGCCGACAACAGCAGCGTCAATAATCCCGGTGATCGGCGATACTGGGACAACGTGTCGCCCGATTCTTCCTTCCTGAACGCCTACCTCCCCTCCATCCTGCCCGAACCCGCTCTCATCCCCTCTCGCCTTCGGGAGGCTCGGGTCAGCGAGAACGTGGAGGAAGGGACAGGAGGATCGACCGACTCGAACTCGGGCACCTACCACTCGTCGCACGCCAGTAGCGCCGACGAGGCTGATCCTCCCGTCTCTCACGCCCCGTCTTCCGATTTTGTGCCTTCCTCAAACCTGTATCGCTCCGTTTGTCCGACATCAGCTCTTCGTTCTTCGCCTCGTCTTCCTGGCCCCGGTTCTCCCGTTCCCGCCACCTCCTCCTATGCTACGTTCCACGGCGACACCCCGCCCCCCGCCGCCCTCTCCGCCTCAGGCCATTCTTTTGCTTTTCGCGGTCGCCTGCCGTCCCCACCCTCAGCCTCGGCCAACTATAACCAGTCCACTTCCACTGACGTGAAGGGGAAAGCTCGTATGTCGTCTTCTATTCCTCTTCGCCCGTCGCGTCTCTCGCTCTCTACCACTGCCGCCCGACCGGAGACGACAGCGGCGTCGTCTGTGCCGTGGGTGTTCATCGGCAGCGCTCGGTCAGAGCCGGGCTCACCGCCGACCGTTTCTCGGCTCTCCGCCAACACGCCCTCTCTCCCTGCCAACGCGCCGGCCCTCTCCGCCAATGCGCCCACCGCCGCTTCTGTAGTCGCTCCACCTGAGGGCGGAGCGGCTGAAGCCGAGGAGCCGGAGGCTTACACGCCCATATTTGCGGAGGATGGCGATGGCTCCGACTGGTACGCCGTTGTCCGAGGCCGCAGGGTCGGGGTGTTCGCCAACAAGTAAGTCCAAACATATCGAGACGCCGAACACCTGCTTATTTATTATACAGCTTGACAGCGGTTGCGTCCGTGAACGGTATCAGTGGCTTCGCGATGAAGCAATACAAAACGCGCGCGGAGGCGATGAGGGCGTTTCGCGAGGCTGAGCAGTTTGGACTCGTGTGTCAGGTGGGCCCGCAGAAACAGGTGCCGCCAGTCTTTCATCGTCCGGGCTCCTCGTAACTCGTTCCCCGCATACCTACCTTACTTCCCATTCTTGATTTAGCGTCTAGTTTGATTACTGCCATATCCCGGTTACCTCCTGTTTGCTCAGCCAAGAGTGCATAGATGTCCGCTCTTGTAATTCATTTCTTGGAATTTCGGGCCCGGCCTGTCATGGTGGTGAGGACTGCCGAACTTCACAAATACGTACACATCCTCACTCAGGTATGGTGCCTACATCTCGCCGACCTAGCTCCGGATGATCCTCATAGCGAGCATATTGCAGTGAATTCTGGCAGGTGCCCTCTGACTGCTGTATTCCGATTGTGATACCACATAATGAATATGTACGGTACGATTAGGGGCTGTAGCGGACTGTAAGGGAATTGCGGCGATGGTAGAGCATATGACAATATGGTGTGATTAGGCGGTAGACGAAGATCTGTTATGGGGAGCATGTACGGGGCCAAGGTGGCCTCACAGATTCCAAACCCTGACATTCTCGAGAACTGCTTGCAAGGGGAACGGGGGCGCCATCTTGACCGGCTTCGAAGGAGGGGCCATGTTCTTGCGCTCGTAGGCAGAAGGTCCTCCGTCACTAACCCTGTTAGGAACCTACGGAACTCAAACATGTGAGTAGGCAAACATCGTGACAGGCTCGAGAAGCTTACCGCGTCAATGCCACCTCCTGGGCTTGGGGAGTCTCATTTTCCTCTTTGATGACGTTTCGCAGCATGGCGAGCTCGTTGTCGACGAAGTTCCAGAACTCACTGGCGTCGTAATCAAACTCTGAGTCTTCGTTAACTTCTTGAGCATTCGACTGAGCGCGGTCCTGACCATCTCCGACACCACTGCCCTGAGAGCTGGAAGAGGCGACATGAGAGCTCGCACCTGTGCCACAAGTGGCGCTGCCCGACGCATCGGCACTCTACAGCCGTGGATCGATCCATCGATGTCACGGCGTTCGGGCACGTTGGTCGCGGTGGCCTCAGTGTTCTGAGCTTCTACACCATTGCCCGAGGGCGCGCGCGTTGTGACCTTCGCCGGTGACCATTTTCCAGCCAAGACTTCGCTGAACCTGACCAAAGCGTAGCGTTGCAGAGGGTACCGTCAATCATTAGGGGCCTCATTAATAAGTAGTCACTCACCAGGAATGCAATACGGCACCAATGCATCAATCGAACCTCTACATAGAGGGTGCTGGGTATGAGGGCGCTGGTAAGCTGGGCGGCGTTCAGGACTTTGACTTCAATGACTTGCTCGATGTGTTGTTGACGGCGGCAGATCCGATGGACAGGACCAGCTGGTGCAAATCGAACAGGGTGGTGAGCGCAGCGGGGCCCACGAAATTGGGAGACTGGCGAACCTTCGTCTTGATCTGCCCACGGCAGGTCGTAAGGAAGCCAGAAAGCATTCCAGTCACCTTTTCGAACAAATCGGATAGCCCGGCCGTCGCAGAGTATGACGCAGGCGGCGTCTGCCTAGGGCCTCTGGGCGAGACCTCAGGAAGCGTGTGGCGCCTGTCCCGGGCACCGTTCCGTGCGTCCGGATCCCGTGAATCGCGGGCACACGTCTTCCGACCCCATTGGGCGATGCCGCCGCCCGACGCGCGCCTACCCGCCCCCTTCCAAAATAGGATCCGCTAAATATTGTAATTCCGAATGAAATTGAACGTTTGTAAATGTTGGACGCCTCACTTCTTCGTCCTCGTTGTCGTCGGCCCTTGGTTTGTCCTAGCTCAACTTCCTTCCTGTCATCCTGATCCTGTTCTTCTCTTCTTCGACGGGCACCACCAATGGATACCGCAGAACGACCGTCTGCATTACCGTACACGGCCGACCGCGCGCAGCCATGACCACTCTGTGCGCAACAGGCAAGTCGCTCTCTGTTCTCGACCTTACCCTCGACGCTCAATCCTCTTCGGGGGCCAGGGATTTGGGGGCGATGCCGTTTCGTTAAAAGCCGACGCGCCCAGCACTTTCAAGGCAGCACCCTCGACCGTCTCGATCACCGCGCCCCGCTCACCGCCGTCTCCTCACTCGCCAGTCGCCTCGCTCGCCATCGTCTCCTCGCCCTCGTCGCCCTCCATGCCTTTGCACTCGCTCCCTTTGTCCTCTCCGATGTCCTCTCTGTCTTCTCTACCATCGACGCCGTCGGTTGCTACTCGCACTCCCAAGGTCACGCCGTTCTCCTCGCCTACTAAAACCGACAAGTCGAGCCCCGGCACTCATGTGTCCCCGTCTCGCCCCCATCCCTACTGGAAGTCGAAGCTAAAGGAGTGTCTCACGACGGTGACCTTCACTGCCAATCCTACCCCACTCCTTGACCCGGTTCCATAGAAAGTGGTATATCTTCGCTACTTTCGTCCTAGTACTCACTCGTCGTTATCTCTAGCCCACAGGACGCTCTCGGGGGTCTAGTCCCTGTGCTCGACCTTCTCCAGTACTCCAAGGCCCATGTATGGCCCGACTGCATCAAGTGCTTCTGCGTCCTCAGAGGAGGGGTTGAACACGCTGTTCGTATCTTCGTGCCGCGCACTGGTGAACACGCCGGCAACCCCGTCCTCGCTTGCCCCCTGTGGAAGCCCGACGGCCTCCAAGGTTGTCGCTACTGGGGTATGACCACACCTCTCACATTTGACGTCCACTAACATAATTCCTTTCAGTTAACTTAGTTACTCTGTTCTCGGACCCTGACCTACACAAGCAAGTTCCGTTGTCTGTCTATCCTCTGCGTCTGCGTCGCAGCAGTAGTGGTGAGCTTATTCTTCCATTTTGTGAAGTAACCTCGTCTCATTTGGTAGCCCCTGTTATAGCTGTCGACTACTCTGCTGGGGCACCAACGCCCTTCCTCGATCGCCCATCTGCCCCTTCCGTGCCCCCGTTCAAGTATGAGCCGTCTTTTGCCGATTACCCCGACTTCATCGCCGTCGACCTAGCTGCGTTCGCCGCTAGCTTCCCTGCATTCCCGCCTGCTGCTCTCGACTCGTCTGCCTTAGCACCTTCGACCCATCTGCCCACAGCGCCTTCTCTGGTGAGCCTCTCACAGGGCCCCTCGGATGCAACCATGGCCAACACCGAAGCAGGCACGTACAAGTCTCCCTCGTCCGAATCCACGGACAGCGAAGCGGTCTCCCTTCGAAGGGCCATCATACGCGAGATGCACCAGGTTCTGCGAGAGGACGAGTCCGAGAGCCGCGCAGTAGGGACCGGTTTGGAGCGCCAGACACGCTGGGGAAGCATAAGCACGACAGCGACGACTGGCAACACGGCCAATGCGGCATTGGCAGCTGGTCAACGAGCTACTGCGGTGAGTCATCATTAGATTACAAGAGGTTCTAGTAAGATATAGCCCGAGCTAAATGTTCCATGCACAGGTCGTATCACGCCGAGTCAAGACCTTCAAGGAGCATAAGGTTCCTAAGTACGAAGACCTTGGTGATGCGCTCGTGTCGCCACCGAGTACGAAGCGACCCCGGCACGGTCTCCTTGAACCAGGAAGCTATGGCATCATATTCCACCAGTCACGTCTCTACGCTGGGCGAGGTGCGCACTGTATCGTAATCCTTTTGGGTTGTGCGAGTTCACCTCATATTTGCATTATAGTCCTCGCGATTTTTAGCCGCACCGGCGGAAAAGCGCGCGCGCACGCGTGGCAAACTAACTCGAGCAATATCGGGCTCGTTTCGTACGTCCTGGTTCAGATCTACGAAAGCACACTCCCGGGACGGTTCCGGGCCATTCACGGCGATCTGGCCTTCCTCCAAGTCTCAAGGTTTGTCCATCTCCCATCCGACCAATTCCTATTGAGGTTGGATCCGAGTTCGACACTTCTGGGCCCGGACGCCCGGATGCTCGAGCTGGACTCCGCAAGTTACCGCATCTTCCAGACCCTGGAGTCCGCTATCCAGAAGCTCGCAACATCGATCAAGACCCTAAATTCTGCAAAGAGGAAGAAGAAGCAGGAAGTGTCGGACGAAGAAGATGCCGCGTGACAGGATGCGGTTCGTGGTGCTCGTCGCGGGCGCAAACTCGTTCCTATGTACTCACGGACTACAGATAATACCTTACGATACGCTAATTCTCGTCCTGCTTCTCAAAGTAGGCCGTTTTGATGCCTCTCTCTGATAATCCGGACAAGTATACGCCCCTGGGAGGCCTGTTGAGATTATCCGGACATGGAGGGTAGAAGGTCCGGTATGCCTGCTACAATCCGGACGAAATGGGGCGCTAAACAGGCCTGTAGGCCCCGGACATTTTGGTCGTTTTCGGGGTCCGGCTCAACAGGCCTCTCCGCCTATTGTCGGGGGTCCTGGAGAGGTGCGCGCGCGGTGGGCTGCGGTGGGCCGCGCGATGTCGCGCACGTCGCGCGGGGGCGCGACTGTTCGCGCGAATAAGCGCTGGTCGGGGGCGGGCGAGATAAGATGTCGGCGGGGTTCAGCCACCGCTAAGTTCCAAAACCAGAGCAAACCTGTTGGGAGATTAAGGTCTCGTCCACATCTTTCTCTGCTTGCTTCTCCACCTGCTCCCGTTCCTCCTCTGTGTGCTTGTCCTGTCGCCGTTTTGCAGCCTCGGCTAGCTTAGCCAAACACTCCTGCTCACGTTCAACCTTCTCGCGCTCTCGGGCCGCCTTTGCTGCATCCGCTGCACCCTGCTTCGCCTTCTCCTTCTGCAAGCTCTCGCGACCTCTTAGACGGTCTACCTCTTCGATGATTTGCAAGAGCTCATCTGCATGGCGCTTTCAGAGCAGCCACTTGACGCCCTCGAAGTCCTGAACGCTTCTGAAAGTCGTACGGGAGGAGACGGTGGCAAGTACCGTATTGGGCAAGATGGCTGAGGAGCCAAACGGTGAATGTCGTTGAATGAAACCATTCCCTTGGTCAAACACGGCGGCGGTGCTTTTGACCTTGGCGGGTAGGAATGCGAGCGCTTCGTGGTCTTGTTTCCCCGCGGCCATCATGTGCACTTCCAGATGATGTTCAACGGGGCGATCGTTTCCAAGGTTGAGAAAGAACGACTTCTCTAGTGTTACACGGAGAGTCTGAACTGCTTCGACGAGCACCAGCGGAGGCATGGTGACGGACGTCAACTGCGCAGACGCTCGGAGGGGTAGTAGTGCTCGAATGACGTCGAGAGCAGCATACTCGGGGCGGAAGTCCCCGCCCCATTATATACAACGTGTCTCGTCGACTATCAGCCCAAGTACCTTCTTCGTGAACTTGGGGTTGTTGAACAAGGCACGCCAGGGTTGTCCTGGCCGACCAGCAGCTTGGGCTGCGCTGTTACGACAGAGTAATTGCCTCGCTCGATCTGTGGTCGCACCACTGGGCATCCCGGCATGGACCCGAAAAGCGGTGTTTGAAACTGAGCTTTGCGCATCCTATAAGGGGGCCCGCGTCGAAAATCGTACCATCCTCTACGCTTCCGTTGATTTCCCTCCGCCCATCATGGCCTCCTGGACGCCGCGGCTGCCACTCCTAACTACACTGCTGCAGACTTTGAGACAAGCGACTGGCACCAATGCCGCCCTCCTGAGCACTATAACTCAGGTGCGTCCTCATCGCCTCTCCTTAGCAAATTCATAGCCGTTCATATTTCGTTCATTTCGCAGAAGTTACAAATCTTTGGACGCCGCGAAGAACGTGTCGCCTACCTGGCATATATCTTGTCCTCACTGCCAGAAGAGGACGACCGTATCCGTATCATTGCAGGTCATCTGCTGAAGGACATCGCCCGGAGCATCCTCCACACCCCTCCCGATGTCTTGACCTTTGCGAAGTCCGCCGTCCTGGTGGCCGTTAAAGATCCGTCGATCATGGTTTGCCACGCAGCGGCACAGGCTGTCGTCGCATTCCTAGGGATCCTGGAGCCTAGGAACTGGCCGGAGTGCTTGCAACAGCTGGTGCATATGTTGGAACCTGGCGGAGATCAACAAGAGGTGTGTACGGATTTTAATGTGTCAGTTTGCACCATGACGGCGTCCGCCCCCCTGCTGTGTTCTTGATCGAATGGCCGAGTGCCATCCTATGTAATTCATGAACACGGCCTGGCTTCAAGCGCACAATTTTGGCCACACACCCATTATTTGCGTCGCTTTACGCCATGAAAGATGCTTTCTCGAATGGTGACGCGCTAGCCTCTGTTACGTAAAGCGTTCAGATGCAGTGCGTCTTTCTGCAGGCATAACATGTTGACCTCTCCCGGGATTTAAGGCGACTATGGTGGCTGGCCATGTCTACAAAACTGAGTTTTACTTGCGTGCGCTGGCATGCGCTGAGTCACCGGGCACACATCCAGTCGTAGGCTCTAGTATACTCAGCATATCACAGGGTGCTATACGACATTCTGTACACGCCTCGAAACACCGAGACACGAACTCGTATAACACCCCATGGTATGCTGCTTACACTGTTTATCTAGCACGGTTCCCCGAGTCAGCCTTTCCATGCGCGCCTCTCCACTTTAGGTCAAACCAACGCTTGCGCTCAATCTCACACAGTGTTCACTGCGCGGGGCGCTCTAGGGCCCGGATTTTTGCATCAGCTAGTGCCGCAGCATCTCCCATAGTCCAGGGGTGTTTTTCCGTTAGAGACTAACCGTTCATGATATCCAGGCCGCATTAGGTGTCCTCAAGCAGGCATGCGACAAGTACCCTGAAAAGCTTGACCTGGAAATCGACGGCAGCTGGTCAGTAAAGGACATACTCCCTATGTTCATCGACCTCTCGGATCACCCCAACGCGAAGGTGCGCGCACAGGCGATCGCGTGTCTGTCAAGTCTCGCTAGTATTGGCTGTGATTCCCTCTTCGAGCGCATAGACGCGTTCATCGCATGTCTCCTCAAGCGCGCGTCGGACGAGGATCCGGCTGTGCACAGACATGTCTGCCAAACTCTTGTTCTGCTGCTAGCGTCGCGCCCGGAGAAGCTCATGCCGGAGATGGTCAATGTGGCGGGGTACATGCTCTACTCCGCGAAGGACAAGCACCAGGATGTCGCGCTCCAGGCATGCGACTTCTGGCTGACGTTCGCAGAAATCCCGGATCTCGCGCCGAACCTCCGCCCGTTCCTCGCCAAGGTCTCGCACGTCCTGCTGGACCGCATGGTCCACAACGACGACGATCTGCTTCGGCATGAATGTTATGACGACGATGTGGCCGTGCATGACGAATGCGCAGGCATCGAGCCTCGCCCGTGGAACCTGCGCCAATATGCGGCGGCAGCGTTAGATGCGCTTGCGGTTCGCTTTGGCGCTGATCTGCTCAACGTGCTGCTCGAGCCGTTGCAGACCAAGCTGCGGAACGACGATTGGCTACAATGCGAGAGCGGCATCTTAGCACTCGGGGCAATAGAACCAGGTCAGAATCAGCCATATGGAGGTATTGTAGTTTCGAAGCTGACAGGTAATGCGCAGGGTGTATTGACGCCATCAAGCCTCACCTACCAACACTGGTGCCATACTTGTTCGACGCTTTGAGCCACCCTCAGGTACGTCCGGATACCTTTATTCTCGATGTGGATGTTCACTCAATACTACTTTCAAAGCCGCTCATGCGGTCTAACACTTGCTGGACTCTTGGCAGGTACGCCAGATGGTGCTCGCAGCCGATCTCGCCGGAACACACGACCCCAATCTTTGTCCCCACGCTGCAAGGTGTGAGTACAATTGTGTGCTCATCGAAAAAACGACATATTTATTATGTTTCATAGCTTCTCAGGATGATGATAGACGATAACCAGCACGTGCAAAAGGCGGCATGCAGCGCATTCGCCGCACTCGCAGAGGAAGCAGGCCCCGAGCTGGCCCCGTACCTCGAGCTCGTCTTGCGGCAGTTCCTCATCTCGTTCGAGAAGTATGCAAACAGTAACATTCTTGTCTTGTACGACGCTATTGAGACTCTTGCGGACGCCGTCGGCTCGGCATTGCAGAGTCCGACATACGTCGAGATTTTGATGCCTTCACTACTGGAGCGGTGGTCGAAGCTCAAGGACGACAACGACGAACTGAAGCTTCTCCTTCAGGTGCGTTTCTAGCTGCATGAGTGTAGTACGATCATTCATATCCCGCCCGCAGTGTCTTGCTTCCGTCACGATCGCCATGGGGCCAACAGTCCTCCCGTATGCAACTCCCATATTCGACCGGTGCCACGCCATCGTGCACAACTTCCTGCTCCAGTACAAAACATCCCAGCAAGACCCCGAGATGGACCGGCTTGATCGTTCACTCATCGCCACCTTCGATATTCTCTGTGGGTTGATACAGGGCCTCGGGATGGAGCTCGAGCAACACATAATGGGCAGCCAACCGAACCTCTTCGAGCTCCTTATCGACTGCATGAAGCATCCGTACGCGGCGGTGCGGCAATCGGGCTTCGCGCTTGTGGGCATCATGTCCAAGAACTGTTTCCCGCTGCTTCGGCCACAAGTGTCCCGGATCATGCAGTGCCTCACGGTGCAGCTCAACCCGGGACTGAAGCTCGAATTCATCAGTGTGTGCAATAACGCTGCCTGGGTGGCCGGCGAGATCGCACTCCGGTTCGGTCACGGTGAGTCCATCTCTGAGCTTGTGCAAGACGTTCGGCTAAATATTTTCGTCAGATGAGGCCGAATTCCGGCAATGGGTTCATCCCCTTGTCTCGCAGCTTATCTCCATCCTGCGGCACTCGAAGGCACCGCCGAACCTGCTTGAGGACGCCGCGGTGTCGATTGGCCGGATCGGTCTGATGCACCCCGCCTTGGTTGCGCCGCTACTTCCCGAGTTTGCGCATGCGTGGTGTCAGGCACTCTACGAGATCCCGGAGAACGAGGAGAAGGACTCCGCTTCCCGCGGGCTCTGCACGCTCGTGCAGATGAACCCGGCCGGAATCAAGAAGGTCAGTGCTCGTCTGTAGCGTCAAGTGGGATTGTGTTGACGCGGAGCGCTGTTGATTTTAGAGCCTTCTGTGCTTCTGCGACGCGATCGTCCAGTGGAAGCAGCCGTCGCCGGAGCTCAACGACATGTTTCAGCACCTGCTCAACGGGTTCAAGCAGACCGACGCTGTCGATTGGGCGGTGCAGGTCGTGCAGTTCCCGCCCGCCACCCAGGAGGCCCTTGCGGCGCGTTATGGCGTGTAACCATTTAGGCCAGTACGGTTTCAGTCATCCATCCTTGGCATCAGCGATGCAGAAAATGTCATGTAAACACTTGAGAGCTCTTCGAATTGCTTATAATAAGCCGTCTTGCATGCAATTCCAGCCTGGAGTCTGTGGTTACGAGTCTTGTGTCAATTAATATGACCACATGACTCAAATGCCTCGAATTTGGCGGAGCCACGCTATACTCAACAAATCAGGAATTGGCATGAAGGTTTGAGTGCAAACATGTCCTTTCCGGCTTAAAGTGTGCGGCGCGGGCGGTATTTTCGCCGGTGCACAGTCATCCTCCGAGTCTGTGCGCATCCTGCCGGCACGGAAGTTCAACACAGGTGCATGGACTGTTGAAATAAAGCCATGGTCGTGACTCCGCAGCTGTGGATTGTGTTGATGGCGCGACAACTCCACAACGGAGTCGACGGGGACAGTGTGACCATCACGGTCGTCGACTCGTGGGGCTTATTCTAGCACTATCACAAGACAGTATGGTTTTCGAGCAAAACAGAGAGGGATATCAGGAGGGTTGCCTGGTACTTCAATATAGAGGACTAGAGCACCACTAAACTAGGTCAGTACACTATAGACATGTCTATGGAGACATCGAGATAGGCTAAATGCATGGCTAGCACTATGTATCACTGGCAGATATCAGGGCTGTAAGATGTCAGTCCGCGGCCGCAACATCAGCAAAAACCAAACTGGCATGAGCTGGATTGCGAAGAGAGCACGCGCGTGAGAGCGCTTGGGAGACCGCTGCAATCCTCGGAGATGGGATTGTCAATCCACCACTGGCAGTGGATTGCGACGACTTGCCCGCGATCCTACCCGCGTGCGAAATGAGATAGCGGCTTATGCATGGACTCTAATAAATGCAAAGGTAGTAGCAACCATAGCGCAGTCATGGTGCAGTCGGCAGCAATATATTTTAGTCGTACCATTATGATTGATCGAACATGGTAAGCACTATGTAGACGCAAAACCAGCGTACTCGAGGCCGTCCGCATCATGGTCTCCCTCGCCGTCCTCAGGCCCTAGATCAGGAGTGTCCTCATCTTCGGATCCCTCCTGCAGAGCTTCTTCGTCCTCTTCCGCTCCCCGATCCGCCTCTCCGGCGCCCTCGTCTTACGGCGTCTAGCATTTCCATGATCCCCCACGACTGGATATCGCTCAGCAGATTCTTCTGGCGCATCTCCGACAGCCACGCCTCACGGTATCCAGAAGGCAGATGTGCGAGCATCCGTAGGTATGTCTCGTCCGTGATCCCCAGGGACCCAAAGAGGAGGGCGATACGCTGTGCATCCGAGTAAGGAAAGCCGCGTGCACGGAGTAGGTCTTGAATTTTCACGCGCTGAACGGTGTTGGATGGGCCCGGGTCCGATTGGTAGGCTGCAGTCGTGGGAGAAGACTCGGGAGCTGAAGGGGACCGAAGTTGACCAGTTTCCATAACGGCATTGCTCGTTCCAAGCTCAACTTCAGGCGAGTGTATCACTGGCGCATTCGACGGGATCCGAGCGTCTTCCTGTTCGGCAAGATAAGTAAGGAGTTTCCAGAGGGCTCCGATACGGAAATTGCAGGGCGATAGAACTGTACCCACCAGTGATGCACCACTGTCGGAGGCGAGCGAGTTCCTATCGCCGCCGTTATACGAGAGAGACGTGTTCTGCTCTTCGAAGTCCGCGTCTGAGTCGGATCTGACGTCGGCATCCACATACTCGCTATCTCCGCTTTTCTCAACCCCAGAACTTGATACGTCTTCATCCTCGTCCCCATCTTCATACTCCTCGCCGTGATCATGCTCACATGTGTCGCTCCTTGCTTTTCTCAGCCTGCCAGAGCGACGCACGACGCACTTCGAGATGGATTCCCCTTCGATGGAGCTTCTGTGGGCGGGGCTTGCATGGTACTTCATCGCGAGTTGTAGATACGAATAGACAGGCCAGGCATCGACGTACATGCCTTCCAGCGTAGGGCACTGCTCGAGCACCTGGAAAACCCGGGCCCCGTAAGAGATGAACGGAGTCGAGTTTTGCCTCGTCGACATGATGCACAAGCAACCTACTTCGTCTCTGATATAATCCAGAGTCTGTGGGTCCTGCCACTTATATGGGAGCGTAAGGTCGGTGTAGGACGATGCTGTTTTGCGAATGAGTCTCTGCGGCGCAGGGAGGATGAGAATGTGCGTCGGTTGTTGCGGAGAGTCTATGCAGCCTACCATGAGCGCGGAAAATGTCTTCGGGTCACTCTCGAAGTGCATCTGTCGCTGCAGCGTCGCCGAGCCTGATTTGGCACAGCGGCGAATTCTGTCGGCAAGTTTCATCGGCTTTGGTATGGGGTAGATCCTCTTAGCCGTGCCGACCGTCGGATCGAGCGCCATTCTCGGAGCAAGCGTAGACTCAAAGTACACGAGCACCAGGTGGCGGAGTAAGGTGATGCTTCGCGACGCATGCAGACTTTTAAGTCTCTCCGAAAAGTCAGGGCTACGGAGGTCCTGTGGGCTCCAATTTAGCGGAAAAGGGTCGTTACATGCGCCGTCGACGTATCGGGAATTGGGATGCCAGTGACAGCTGATGTCGCGCAACGCCCCCGGGGGGTGTGGGTCGGATCAGCGGCAAACCCCGGCCGAGCGCCGGTACCGCTCGCCTGGTGGCTGGTGAGCGTCGCGTCGCGTCGCGCCAGGTCGCGAACATTGATTTTGCTCTTTCTTTGCTTACTCTGTCACTCGGCTTCGCGATTTTGTCTGTCTGCTGTGCATGCACCCGGCACATAACCCTTATCAAAACCCCAACTTCTACTACGGCCAGGCGCGACCAGGGCACTGGGGCGCCTACCTGGTCGGTGCGGTCCCCCACCCCCCTCCTTTGAGAGGGGAGGAGGTCGCCGCTGCTCTCGCACTGGCTGGGTTGAACGATCCCGGCCAGATGATGCAAGCTCGTCTGTATGAGCCTGCTCCCGCTCAGTACAACCCAGCGGGCCCCGGAGATGCACCACCTGCCATGGTTCCAGGCCAGGTCCCACCGCAAGCCCCCGTTCCGAACCAACCGCCGCCGCGCGGCCCACGCCGTGCTGCCCCAGAGCCTGCGGTACCACGACCCGGTACGTCAATCATCCCTCCTAGTTTGGGCATCATATCTAGACAAGTTACGCACCAGATCCAGCGATCGTCGACTGTGAAATCCCGATGAACACAATGGATATCACACAGGCGATTGTTCTCCGTGCAGAGAGCCTTTCAACGTCACTCGAGCTGGTCGACTTTCTCGAGAAGATCTGCCTCATTGTCGGGGTGCCTTGGGAGACTGCCAAGCTGGCCTACAAGTGGCAGACCGACCCCGCCCAAGCTGCCCCACATGCTCTGGCAACGGATGCTGATGTGCAAAGTCTCTTCGAGGAGAATGCTTGTCACAAACGTACCTGGTGTGCAGGTACACGCCCGGTCAAGGTTATAGTAGTCAATCTGGTATGTCTTCATATGCTCTGCGACATTACCAGCTAACCAGTGAAAACAGAATGCCGCATCACGTACCCAGGCAGCGTTGAAGGCGGCTGAGAAGTGGCGCAAGCTCGATGAGGCTGTAGCGGAGGTGGCACGGAACTCAGAGGAGAGCTGCGCCACTGAGTTTGAGATCTGCCGCCAGAAGCTCCGTTGCCCGCATTGCCAGGAGGGGAATGGGTTCTGTTGGGTGGATCCTAAGGACCCTGTCAAGTGATGCCAGGAGCTCGCACTCCATGAGTTGCAGTCTTGGGCGCGTTTCATGGTGAGTTCAACCTGATATTGGTAGGCAGGTGTACTAACCATCCTGCATAGAAGGACGGCAAGGCAGATCGTGACTGTCTTCTCCCTCCAAACTCGCCACTCTTTGACCGCTTGCGGGCGTCCCCCTCCGAGCGTGAACATGGAAAGAAGAACACGATGTCACCCTCCATCGTGATCCACAACCACCTCGCTAGTCCACTCTCCGATGCCTCATCTCTCACAGTCAACACCCCTGTGGCAGTCTCAGCGCCTGTGCCCTCCCTCCACCTTCACGTCTGGTGCTACTACATACGACTACGACGACGGCGACCCCATCCCGATCACCAAAATCCTCGAGGCACTCGACCAAGCCATGCCGGAGGCAAAGTTCTCCTCGTTTGAGGGAGCTTTGAAGAAGGAGGGCTTCTTCTATGCGGAGAACGTCCTGGATTACAAGAACGACACAGATTATTTTGTGTCAAAGGTCAGCATTCCTGCAGGTTTGGTTCACTCATTTGTCCGGCGTGTGGAACGTGAGGTTGGTACTCATAAGCGCTGCCGTCTCAATGATGGTACTGCTCAGCACATTGGGGGTGAGAACGTTAACACCAGTGCTACCTAGATCTTCTCTTACCTCACTCCTTGCCATTCTGAAGATTCTCCTTACACTACATTTATTTTTACCTGTTTATTCACTTGGTGTACATATCATTATCCCTCTGTCTTCAATCCTTTCTATTTGTCTTGGCTTCTAAACACTCCTTATATCAACTCACTCTTTGTTGCAATCGATCAATTCCACTCCTTCCATACATTAGTGATTAGCTAGATAACCACAGTCATAGAACCAGCCCCGTATGTGCTCTGGCGTCATCGATTTTTGAACTGCTTCCCAAAGTAGTGTGATAGGATCGCACCATGGTTCTTTTTCAAACTGCGCGAGGATATCCATGTGACATGCGCGAATCCACACCTTCATGCACGAGAAGCCCTCTTCAATCAGATTGAGATCAGGCGAATATTGAGGAAGGTAGACAAGCTTGCAGCCCCTGTGACCATGTCAGGATTGAAAAACCAAGATATACACATAGTCAACTGCTCACCTGGCCTCAACAATCTCTCGAAGGCCTTCAAAGTGATGGACAATGGAGTTGTCCATGACCAGGACAGAGTTTGGCATCGGGAAGGGTTGCATTACGGTGAGTAATGCCCAGACATACTTGCAGAATTCTTCTGCAGTTCAAGAACGAGTGATGATGTCGAGGAATAGGACACCCTCCAAGGAGATTGCTGGGAGGATTGAGTAACTGCAATGATTGTTTATTGTCAGCCGATGCGAAAGATATATATTCAAAGACCAACCGTGTTCCACGAACAAAATAATCATGCCGGCGTGCACAATCTCCTTTGGGGGCCCACCCTCGTGAACACCGTGCAGTGTGACAGTTGCAGGCGGACTCATCGAGGAAGACAAGTGACTTGGGTGGGTACTGGCTGATCTCCTAAAGGTACTGTGCACGTCGCACTTCTGAACGTTCCAGTGCCATCTGAGCTATCTACACGCAAAATGATCAGCTACAAGTATGCCTGGTGGCAGGCATAAATACCTGCTTGTACGTCCACACGCGCCAATTGAGCAAGTTCGCGATTGTCTTCTCGCATACATCTACGTCGCGTGCGATCCGCAAAGCCTTCCGCATTTTGGACAGGTAAAGATCCGGCTCCCGCTCGAGCCGGGCCTCAAGGAACTATCATAAACTTAAGTGAGCATGGCATGTTTACATGGATAAGCAAAATTACTTACCTCCATATCGAACGATGTCAGCGCATGGGGACGGCCCCCTCGGCGATGAGAGGGCGCGTCGATCTGGTGTTGTTCCCGCCATCTCTTGAGAACGCGCTGACAAGCGCGCTGGGTGAGGCCTAGCGTGTCTGCGGTTTCTTGTGTACTGTTGGTCGCAGCTGTCAGCTAGAGAATGTCTTACTTCCGCGCAGCAGGTATGCGCGGTGCCATGATATTTGCGACTGACTAAGAGGAGGTACAGGGATACTATGTAGAGGAAAGCCGCAACACGGGTATCGCGACACGGCGCAATGCTCACCAGCCACCAGGCGAGCGGTACCGGCGCTCGGCCGGGGTTTGCCGCTGATCCGACCCACACCCCCCGGGGGTGTTGCGCGACATCCGTTTTTACAACAGCTGGAAGCAGTGCCGATCTCGAGCAGTGCAGAACACTGCCAGGAGCACCATCTGACCTTAGACTCACACGCCAGTCAGTAAGCGAGCCATCCCAAAGCAGGTGTTGGGATCAGCGGAGTGTGAAGCAGGGACGTCTCGAGTCCCGGTGTAAGTAATAGCGGCCATCATGATGCATGATGTCTCGCAGCTCGCAGCCGCCCTTGCACTCCAACAGTAGATTGATAGTAGACTCGAACATCAATATTGAGCTCTGGCTGCGTGCGGATCAACCTGATGGCTTGCCGCGCACTTCAGTTTTGGCAGCGCGGACATAAACCGACCTCTCTATGCTTGTACCTATACTCCAGGCCAGCTGAGAACATACGGGTACTCTGCGAGTACTGCAACGCAATGGACAGTGCCCGCATGACCTAGAGAACATGTGACACAGACATGGTGGTCGTAGATTAGACATCTGTAGTTGCAATAATCCGTGCTAATTTTGCACGTGCAATTGCAATAACACAGATTTTGGCACATAGAGCGCCCAAGACGCAGCCCCTGGGCGCGATGCGGCGCGGCGCGCCTCCTGTGCTATTGCAATAGTGTGCCGGGCGCTTCCCATGCTATTGCAATTGCACAGACGACCCCTTCAACATGGGCTACTTGAGCACCCGGCGCGTTTTGGCACACAGTGGTTCCTGCTTACGCAGCCGTGCATCGCGTACAAAGTATATAGACCGTAGCCCAGGACAAGTTCCAGAAAAGTTCAGCCAAAAAAGGATGGCTTGAAATTGAACCCGCAGCCTTACCGAGGGGCAGTAGGTCACAGTTACCGCTGCGTCAACGATTCTTGTTATAGGTCATTTGCAAGAGCCACATGCGCCCATTGGCTCGGTCCGGCTATCTAAATCAGACACCAGTGGTTGCCAGTTTATAATATAATAGCCCACCAACGTGGTACTAGCATTGTGTATTTGGTGATCACCGCTTTTTATTGTTTATCATCTGGCCCACCATTATACTATCTAGTCTACCCATTGTACAATAGACTGGGCATCCCTGTCAATGCCTGTTAATCATATACTACCCTTCTGGGTGTCCCTGTTAATGCCTGTTAATAATGTACTGCCCTTCTGGGCCTCCCTGTTAATGCCTGTTAATAATGTACTGCCCTTCTGGGCCTCCCTGTTAATGCCTGTTAATAATGTATTGAGCCTCCGGGTCTCCCTGTTAATGCCTGTTAATAATGTACTACCCTTCTGGGCCCCCCTGTTAATGCCTGTTAATGATATACTGACCCTCCGGGCCTTCCCTATTAATGCTTGTTAATGGCTTGGACGTCTCCGGGGGCACCCTATTGATACCGGATGGTCCCGGAAGTGCTATGTCAGTCCCTGTTATATGCCCAGCTACATCCAGGTTGCGGTGCCAGCTCTATGTGGGTGCCAGACACTTTCAATGCCTAATCGGGCAATGCTACTGAACGCCGCGCTGCAGCTGCCCGGATTTGGTGCCTGGAGCGCGGGTTAGCGCGGGCCTGCGTGACCGTTATCACGCTGCGCGTCTATTCGCCCCCAATTGTTACGCGCCGCGCTTGCCAAATCGGGACTTTCTACCAGTCGTCCGACCTCGAGCGCCGTAGAATCACGTGGTCAATAGTGCTACTATGTCGGGCACTGCTACCAAACATCAGTCCTTGGGGATATTGCAGTGACGGTTATATAATGGGGCACAGGAAACGGTAACATTGACTTATCAAGTGAGTAGGCGCCTGCCAAGACCCCGGGCCTGGACCCCATATTCTACAACATATCACAGCCTCAGGAAGCGCGCGCTTGTCGAGCAGATAATAACATTTCAGATATGTTCTACATGAGGACAGGCGCACAATGGTCTAGGTATCTGCTAATCGACGCGAGCTCGCTTATTCGGTCGCTCAGAGTCGCCGTTGTCCGCAATCCCAGTGCCAGCCTGACGACGGCCTTCGTGGACATAGCGAGTGATGACCTCGCATACCCAGCTGACATCCTCCAGAGCCTCCACGATAGTAGATGTGCTCGTATTCTCGTTGAGGGCCGCCCACATCCACCACGCGAGGGTGAGGACAACGAGGAAGAACCCGTTGCAGCCGCCTCTTGCAACCGATCCCCACTCCGTCGCATCGACGGGCTCGTTCTGGGGCAGTGGCCACAGCGTCACGTCGCCTTTGGTGCGAGAGGAGGGCTGCAAGGATATCCACCACTTCCTCCAGGCCACAGAGAACTGCGAAGGCGACTTGATCTTCGGCAGCTTCTCGTAGAGGCAATGATTCTTCATCCATATCCTGACCTCGTCGGGGCGGTGCTTGGTAGGGAGACGATTGCTGCTGTCCTGTAGATAGTTGCTAGTTAGCTGCAGAAAATATGCATAAGAAAGCGGACGTACCTGTCCATTGGGGTACCCCGACGCCTTCTCGAACTCCAGCCATAGTCCAATCAAGCGCTTCCACCCCTCACCGCCTTCGACGAGCGTGAAGTATTGCATGGCATCGGACATCCATTCTGGGAGGGCGTCACCGTCGGGAGGCGCAAGATCGCCGGTGCATTGCGATGGAGAGGGAATCTGAGAGAGACCGGGTGTAGGTTCGTGTTCGACCGTGGGGCTGACGGCAGCAGACGACTCGGATTGCGGGTTGGGGACAGCGAGGGCTGCGTCAGAGCTGGCGATGGACACGACCCGTGCGGCCGCGTCCTGCGAGGGCGTATGCTGTGTCGAGGAGCTGACGACGGCGGATGACTCGGGTCAGGCGGGTGGGGCAGCAAGGGTTGTGTTGGAACCCGTGACGGACAGGGCGCCCCCCACGGCCGCGTCCTGCGAGGGCGTAGGCTGCGTGGAGGTGCTAGGAGGCGGTGCGGTGATAGGTTGAGTGGGGGTAGGTCGCGCTCCGGGGCCTGTGGTCTTTCCACCAGATGTAGCCTCGCTTGCAGGAGGCTCGGGACCAGCGGCGTCGGGCTGGGGATTCGTCGAGGGCAAGGGCAAGTTTGACGTAGCAGGGTCCAGCGCAGGGGTAGTAGTCGAGGGAGACGGCGTGATGGTGCCAGTCGGCACAGTAGAAGTAGTAGTCGAGGGTGAGGGCGTGACCACGTCGTCTGCGCTGGCGGATAGCGAGGTGTCCTGATTGTTAGAGCCACCGTTACGCCGGCTCCTCCTCTTCGGTTGCGTGGGACCGGCGCTCGTGTCAGACAGCTTCTCCCGTTTACGCTTCTTCGGGCCTTGAGGCTTCGGCGGGAGCACCAACTCTCCCAGACCCAAGTCGTTGAACAGCTGTTTGTTTGCGGCTATCCTAGCTTCGCGTCCTGCCTCGTAGTCTGACTCTGGGGTCTCCTGCCGACGCGCGCTCTTGCTTGTCGACTTGTCGCGGGTGGCGGTGTCACTCGTAGACGTACCAGCACTGCCTGCCCGACCAGGTTGCTTATCGGTTGGACCCGCCGACGCACCACTGGACCCGGATGTGAGAGACGGCAGATTGGACGCAGGCGGGGTGCTTGTGTGAGAAGGCGACCCGTCATGTTCGAGTTGTTCGTCGAGGTACGCAGCGTTCAGTCGTTTCCCAATGTCCGCGGCTAATAGTATGTCAGTTAGGAACCGTTTGCGACACATAACTCGGATACATACGGTAGCAACTGACAATAAACTTGTTGAATGCCCTCTCTAAGTCGTCCCACTCCGGCGTAGCGTTCGGGAACGATTTCCCAAGATTGAGCGTCTCCCCCTGATTAAGGCTAGGAGCCCCTCGTTAGGACGATAGCAAGCACTGGAAGGTATGGTTGGGAAACTTACAAAAGCGCCGCAAATTCGCCCGTATCGGGACGAGGTCCGCCCACGAGGAAAGCACTCTTCCAGCCGATCTGCTTCTCAAGACGTTTCTGTATGCCCTGCAGCGTCTTCGGGAGCATGTCGATCATGCTAGATAGGCAGCGTGAGTGTAAGCCTCGCGTCACGAACCGTTCGACTCACCTCTGCATGTTTCTCGCCGTCTTTGCCAGATCCTCTGCATCGACGTGCATCTCTGCGCTCTCCTCGTCCAGGAATTGCTCGAGGCCACCTGCGCCAACGGTCTTCTCGCAATGCTCCTCCACCTCCCTCTGTACGTCCTCCGGCTCGTCTTCCAACATCACCCTTGCACGCGCGCACGCGAACTTCCACCACGCGTCAGGCACAGGTGCCTTCTCGTTGGCGTCCGCATCGGCACTCTCCTCATCGATGTCGGAGTTTGCGGCCCCGTGCTCTTCGGTGTGCTTCTTCAGGTAGTCTTCATACTCCTTTCGAATCACCGGCATGATACGATCCGTATGCAGGTTCATGTACGCTTGATAGGCATGAACGTGTCCGGCCTTCTTCGGCGCGAGGTTGAGCACTGTGCCACCGCGGCCCTTCTTCTTCGTCAACTTGCCCAGGCTGCGGTTCCAGAACCATCTGTTGACTTGCTACATGTGATATGTAAGCGACTTATTCGCATCTTCGCTCCTGGGAATACACTCACAAGTTTACATTGGTCCTTAGACACCAAGCGGCCGTTCCTGTCCAACATGGACTCGCGAAACCTGTCCGGTGCGTCGGGGTCCTTCCAGAACGCCTCAAAGTACGCCTTCTCAGTGCGCTCCAAGAACCTGCCCGTCGTTTCATCGTTTTGCGAAGCATGGAAGCCGGGGACTTTGGCCTCTAGCCAGGTGAGTTGGTCGTCCGGCGCCCAAGGTTGGCGACCCATGATGATACGTGGGAGGCAGGTGGTGGGGGGGGGGGGGGAAGTAAACAGGGGTGACCACGTTATTTTACAGGACTTCCCGCCGAACGGAGCCCATGCGTGCGCGTGGTGCGATCCGCTGATGCACTCAAGTCTCCCGTAACGGCCGCTAGGACGTCGGGGTCGATGGGCCGAGAGGACGAGACCCGAGAAGTGTCTTGTGTGAGCGGGGGATTCCGAGTACGATCCCGAGTTCCCTACGACGCGGAAGGCGCGGGGAGGGGCCGAGCGAGCTTTTCGCTCCTGGCCTGTGAGGAAGGGATTGCGCGGACGATACGTGCTATTGCGGGGCGCGACGCGGAGGATCGGGGACGCGGGTTTCAGGCGTGGTACTCACTGTACGCAACGAGACGAGGACGTCGGGGGTGTTGTCGGGAGGGAACTCGCTGGCGCTGTCGAAGTCGCAGTCGCAGACGCCGTCGCAATCGCAAACTTGAGCTCTGAAGGGGTAAGGGAAAAGTGGGATTTCCCGGAGCTCGGGGCCCCGCGTATATACAGGAGGGGCCGGAGCCGTACGGGAAGGATAAGAAAGAAAAGATGCACCCGTCGCGCAAGGCGCGACGGGCGCGACGATCGGGCCCCCTACGGGGGCCGCGCTCTGCGGGCCTTGCCTAGACTGTCGGGGCCGCGCGTACCGCGCGGTGTGATTGGTGGGCGGGGACGCATGCGCCGCGACCCCCGACGAGCGTATCGGGCGTTTCGTACTGCCCTCGAACCCCGATGCTTGGCAGGGCTTGGCGCCCCCGGTCGGGGCCACTTATCGCGGCTCGCCTTGCTCGACTCGCGGGTGGCGAGTGAGGGGTGGTGCGTGAGCGACGATGGGGCTTCGGGGAGGCTCGGGGCCGCTCGGGGCGCAGTACCCGCTAGGGAGTCGGCGTCGGGGTGGTCTGAGCTCGAGAGCGGTGCCCACACCGCGGCGGGCGGCAGGCGCGGTGAGTGCGCATCATCTCCCCCTAACTGAAATCCCGACTGTCCCCAGTCGGCATTGATGGCGATGGTGCGATTGCGCGAGGTATAAAAGTCCGGTGACGACGTCGGGGGTGGCCCTATCTGTCGCCTACCAGCTTCTACCCCGATGGCCAGTATTGCCGCTCTAGAACAGCTCGTCCGCGACGCCTGTGTCGCGTACGCTCCTGCGCTCGCCAGGGAAGTCGACCGTGCCGTGATTGGCCTGGAGGAGATGAAGGAGAGCGGGTCTCATGGCCCCGACGACTGGCGCGCCGCGCTAGACGACACCCTGAAGCTGATGGTGCGCCCTCCTATTTGCCCTACACCTCGGGGGACGCACGCTGACCCTTCGGGAAAGGGTGACTACTTCGCGATCACCCTGCACGGAAGGGAGATGGTCCCCCTCCTTGAGCGGGTTGAGATGCTGCTCTGCCTCGCGCACGACCCCGACGACCTGTGGCTGTACTTCCAGGAGCGATTCCTGCTCGCCAAGTGTCGCGCGACGCGCCTGTACTACCTCGGGGCCCTCCACCGCGTAGAAGCGGCCTTGATGCAGGCGCGCGTCGTTCGGGGTGTGGCCTCTCGTTCGGATGCGCCGCTCGGACTGGCCTCGGCCGTGACCCGCTTGGAGGCCCAGCTGCACGAACTTCGGACGGTCCGCGAGGAATTGAAGGAAGAATTGCAGCTCGTCGGGGACGTTGCTCCGGATGCCGTTACGGAGGTCCGGTGAAGTGGGCGGTGGGCGTCGGGGATTGGCGTCGGCGTGAGGGCGTCGGGGCTAGGCGTCGGCGTGAGGGCGTCGGGACTTCCGAAAGGGCGCGGGAGGGATGTGTGTGACGTAGGCTTCGGGACTAGTTGGTGGCGCGTAGAGTGCAATAGAATGGGAGCCGCCCGTGTACCGACGCGTCGTTCTACCCGCCGGCGTGTGGAACGCTCGCGGATCCTAATTGGCCTGGTGCCGCGATGTCCAGGGGCGCGGCGGTCCTCTCGCCCGCTCGGGGTGACATGCGGGAAACTCCGCGGGGTAGCCAAGGGCGGCGTCGCGCGGCCCGTTGCTTCGGCCAGGGCCCGGTGGTACGCCGCCGCGGGAGAAGCTGATGGTCGCGCGCTTCCCGCTACTAGGCGCCGTCGCGCGCCGTTCGCGCGAGGCGTCTCCTGCCAGTAGTGGTAAGGTGCGCCCGCGGTCGCCGCGCGCGAGCGGCGTTGTGATTACCGTCGCGCGCGACCCTACCGCCTGCCTTCGCATAAAGGGGCGACGTGGCGCGTCGGTGGCGACTCGCCTCTCTCTCTCCCTCTCTCCTCTCTGCTGCTCGACATGTCCTCTACTGCCGTCCCGAAGCGCGCGAAGTCCTCGAAGCGGGTCCTCCCCCTGGAGGAAGCGCGGGAGAGGATGAGGGACTTGCACATGACGGAGCCCGACGGTGCGGCGGAGCCCGCGGATCACCTGACGTGGGGTGGGATGGCCTCGAAGGCCTTGGTACGTCCCTCCCCGACCGCTTCGGGGTTCTGGTTCGTCTGCTAACCGGGGGGGGGCGGGCGCAGGACTCGTACTTCGCGGCTCCCGAGAGAGGCCCTCGGGCCGAAGGGGACGAGTTCGCGGAGTACGTGGTCCGGGTGGTAAGCCCCTTCCTGCCGGAGCCGAAGCCTGCATGGTACACCCCGACGCTCTCGGCCGCGGCAACGCGTGTGATCGCAGCCCTCCGCAACACCGCCCCGCCCACGACGCCCACCTACCAGGAGCGCCTGCTGGCCCTCAAGAACAAGTTCCCGGTAAGTCGGGGCCCCCGCGTCTGCTTCTTGCGCTGACGCTGCTTCTAGGAGAGCCCCGACGAGTCGGTGGCTGGAGAACCGGCTGCCGACCTGCCAGCCGCTGAAGAACCGGCCCCCCCGGTGCCCTCCGCGCGCACTCGGTCCAAGGCGAAAGGGCGCGTCCAGTCGGAGGCATCCGACGCCCCCC